ACAACTTAATGTCACATTCCACTCTTGACCATGATCGTCTTAACCGCAAACACACTCTCCTAGCGTCATCCGTATCATCCTCAAGTAGTATGAAGAGTGGCTTTAGTACGGCAAATAATGTCTGGGGCGCTCTGGCGTCGAAGGCACAAACATTCTTCTTGAAGACCGGCAGATTCACAATCAGAGGAAACTCCACGGGCAAGAGAATCAAGCCCATCACAAAGCTAGCGTGCGTGTTTCACGCGTTATTCCAGAAAGGAATGGGCTAATGTATGGGGCTTCTCAGCACTATCTATGAGAAACGCGCCGACGAGGAGCACAAACCCTCAAAAGCGTCAACGCCATCCAATGTGGAGAGAGAGAAGTACATCACAAGCTTGCACTTGGAGTATGGTTAGACTCCGATCCTCCTCCCCTAGATTGATTCCTCGTGCTGTTCTTGCTGTGGACTACAAGAGTCCAGTTGGAATGTTCCATATGCCCAAGGCCATCGGTATTGTTCTCGAGTCAGAGCAACAAGCGGAGAGATGCGTGGCCCCTGTTCCTGTGAAATTCTCGTAAGATCGTGGCACGATCCAGTCCCGGACATTTTCCACACACTCATATGTCTCCCTCAGACCCCCTAAACCCAAACTTCCTACTCCACGTCGTGTCCCGGTGCCGTCCTTCGAGGAGGGCAAAGAAAATGCCCCGCCTTGAGGGAATCTATTAATCTGTCTCCCGTCCCGGCGCATTCCATAGTAAAGCCTCCCACCGCAAGACCACAGAAGCAACGAGTGCGAACCACTCCGTCCTTCGTTAACCCGCAGACGTAGGTTGCCTAACCCCCCAGCGCTTTTGAGCAGTTTTTCCTGATTTTGGCCGGGTGCGTAGTCCTCCCAAACCGAAAGTGCGATTAAGCCCTCGAACAGCCCACGAACAACTCGGTGAGTCGATATCGGCCTCCTTTTGGCGCCCTTTTGAACTCCCGATCTAGCGTTCCAAGCCGAAGCCTCAGGTGGTGCTTCGAATATCCCCACAAAACGCATCACTAAGGGAGTTGTTCCATCTGGCCAAACCAAACAGTATGTACCTTCAGGCCTTGGTACAAAATTGCTCCTAAATTTTTAGAAGGGTAAAGTTGCTACTATCTCGCAGTCAGCTAAACCGGGTCAGGCCAAATCGAATAGCATCTCCAAGTCTGTCCCAAAAGTCTCCACGGGTTCCTCCCCGATGCAGAGAACCTTCCACACAACATCATGCTTTCTTCATCAGTCTTAAAGCGTCCGATGGTAGTGACGAGTCTTCGGAATCTCGAGCCCCCTGCAGATAGATCTGATAATCGTAAGGCTTCTGGGATCCCCACTCTCAAATCATCCAATCCAAGAGCAGAACCGAGCCATTTCAGAAACAAACCGCGTTCGGTAACCCATTCTAGTTCTGTTCCCAAAAGGTATGGCATATCCATAGTGAGCGCTTTTTTTCCTCGATGAGAACTTCCCTGTTGTAAGGGATTCACGGAGCCGGATGCCCGCCTCGGCCGGCACTGTTTCCTTACCGACAAGGATGCCTGCTGGGAATGGAGCCTCAAATAGGGACGTCAAAGCCGAAGTATCTCGTACCCCATTTGTCCCGAAGGCTGGCCGGTGGGTTTCCGAATCAGTTGCGGGATTCTTCATTCACCGACCGCTTGTCTTGATGATTTTATAGTGAATCTGCAAGAGCTGCGTCCCGAGCTGCTGGACAAGTTGGATGCCTCGCGCACCAGTTGCTAGATCCAAAGCTAGGAGGTATGGGGATCGTCATCGATGGTCTTCTCCTGCTGATTGATCCATTATGTCAGTCCCGTGAGATCTCCGCCGTCAATGCAGCGTTCTCCACAAGAACCTCTACTGCAGCGATGACTACGTCTGTTCTTGGGTCCAAGTATGTATGTATGGTCGCCCTGTGGTGTCTGACCTCTCAGCATCATCCTTAGCTCGATTGGGGAAACTGCAGGATCTGACCCTGGAATATCTCGTCACGTCCAACAGGGCAGCCTTGATGTTCAAGATCTCCTGGCTAAGACCCTAGTTTCAAGCCCGGTATCCTCGAATACTGGCATTTTAATCATGGAGGAGCGTCCACCCTCTGATCTGGTGGGTGGTTGTATTTGTTCCTAAAGTACCCCCTCATATCTTTCTGGGACAAGTTTGACCTATCAGTGGAGCTCTACTTGATTCCATATCATGAGCATCCCAAGGTATGTGGTGCCAACGTCTTTCGAACCAATTCATCAACTTCCCACAGGTTCAATCTCTACATCGATTATTTTCCCAAAGCAAAGCCCAGCACTCCCAGAGTTCTACCCCTCGTCGTTTCTCGCTTGCCTCGAGTGTCTCCTGGGGATTTATGACTTCTACGCCCAAAAGGGGAGGTGTCCTGGATTCTTTGGGTGGTGATACTCTTCGACCTGCGGCTGAGGGCATTTCGGGGTCTATATATGCTAAACATGCCAAGCGGTGGCTCACAGATGATGAATATGCTTCCGACGTGACATCAGATACCGCTAATAAATCAGAATCTACTCAAGGAAGCCCCCTCCCTTCTAGTGGTGCATGCTCTCCTCAGTTGTCTTCTCTTCCAACGATCTGTGGGATTTGCTCTAACTGCCTATATTCTAATCCGTGGTCGAATCCAGGTCCCCCGAAGCTGCAAACAGATGTCTTGCCTCTCACATGGTCACCTCTGTTGCATCGTAGAGGTTCTTTTGCTGTTCCTTTCCATAACCCTCCTGGAAAGTTACAATCGTTTCCTTCGCTATTGTCCAATAATGAGAGACTCTTTGGGGCACGTTCCAAGGGGGATCAAGTCTTACCAGAGGAGAAAGATACGTCTTTGGAGGCTGCTATTCGCGGTAGTGGTGGCCTTCTACCATTGGTCCAACCCAACTCATTGACAGATCTTGATTCAATGTTGTTGGGCGGAGCTTATGATGGACCGAATGAGAGTCTTTTCGAAGCAAGACTAGAATCTCTCATATCTCAGGAAGGGAGTTGGTACTCGGATGACTAGAGGTGTTTGCATGACGGCGATGATCACGACCGCATTGTATGGTGGTTACGAACCTGTTTCCACACGCTCAAGAATTAATGCCTTTGTATTGTCGACCCTATCTTCCGTTCCTTCTCGCGTGGGCTTGTCACGTTTGTGTTTAGCATTGTAGTTCATTTTGTTCATGTACTATGTAATTGTCGCTGTTGTAATATTGATTCGTGCCTTCTGGGACAGATTTACCCACTTAAGTCTTACACCCATTAACAGTATCACACGTTCACCCCTCATATCTGGGAATGAGAGCGAACTTTTCCCATGTGTCCATTTAAATCAATTAAGGTGAAGGCTAACGTAGTTGGATGGTTCTGCTCATGTACGTACGGGTTGAATGCACAAGAAAGCCGGTGACCCGGCGGACAGCCGCGATTCTACAGATAAACCCGCAGAGGGGATAGAGAAGTTGCGAAGGACAGTGAGTGTGTCAGTGGAATTGAGGCACGTCCGCCGTACCATTAAATCGTGACTCTGCAAAAGCAGAGCGTTACCAAATGTTCAGAATCCGATGTACATTACGGGATATGCTGACTGGCATTCTTTGTGGCGCATTGCGAGTTGTTTAAGCATATTAACGGTCTTAATCCCAGGCCCAGCCTTTGAACTCGTTGGAAATGGCCAAATTCGCCACAACTATTGGCTCCTGTTGTGATGGAACATATAGAATTGTGCGACCAACCCAGGTCGAATTACCCCTTCTGTGCTTACACGCCGATGAATGGTCTTAGCAACGTAGCTCGGTATCCAGTACCAAGAAAGGTAAAGTGCATGGCATGGCAGAATACTTAACGGGCAGGGCATATGTGTTCATACAGGATGCTCCTTCAATCTTGGTCGGCCGCACCTGACTATGAGAGTCGAAGAATAATGCTGCCCTTTGGTTTGCGAGACGACCCGGGCCAGGAGAAATTTTGAGAACGTCTGCATGCGCTCACACTCATGCATATTCAGATATCTGGAAACGTAATAAAGCTCCCCTTGCGAATGAAGTCGCTGAATGTTCATGGTCGGCGCCAGTTTATGTAATAAACCGTCTCCGAAAGCCATTGAATGCCATATGAGTGTACCGATTAATTTGCGAGGACGTGAATTGCGCTGGGTCACGACTGCTCCAAATGATTCCATCGCAACCTGAGCACGGGCCAACCTAAACCGACTTTCGAAGTTACGCTTGTTCCAGATTTGGCATTATGGTGAGAAATTGATGTGAAATGCTGGTCTATTATAGAGTTCCCCACTCGCGACTTTGTCCTGGCGGGTTGAATATGATCGTCAGGGATGTCAGGAGGCCATAAGAGAAATCTGTCAATTTATGTGTGACAGATTCGGAACGAACCGAATAGACTCACCATTGATCATCTTTCTGAACGGTTGATGCGCACTGCTAACTGATGCAAACACGGACCAACACACTTATGCGGCCTAGTACGGTTGCTTTGATGAAACCAGAGCTCAAAGAAGCCGCAGCTGACCAAGTGGTCGTCCTCTTGCGCTCAGCTACCCAAAGATGTCCGCGATGTCGAGTGGCACCCAGCCATCGTGCATACCTAGATCGTCCAGTGGTTCAAGCCCTCGACTACTGACTCAGGCACCCCCATCACGGTTCTCCCACCCACATCTTGAAGGATCATTGTCCGGCCATCAAGCTAAGCTGTCCATTGATGCTGCTGTATCCAAACTTAGCCGTGCTGTTGGTCGGCCTCAAACGAGCAATTCTGGTGCCATCAATTTCCGTCTCAATGGGAGAGGTTTAGCGTCTCTTGTTATCATTGACTCAACGAACACCCTCATTGAAGGCGAGGGGTTTCAAGCGACGTTCGCAACTGCAGTGGATCGAAATCCCACAGCAGTTAACTGGCTAGATATTGAACAAACATCCGTTGGTGACGGAATATTTCAACCTATTGCAGTCCCTACCCCGTCCGCCATCCTCCTGCGTCGACCTACTCCGTCCTTGATCGAGTTCCATACTCCGTCTGGTTCTGTGTCGAGCAATATGCACCTGTTTACACACCATTCCAAACTTTCCGTAGGTTCGATGTTACCCACTTTGTGTGATTTTGTGACCGTTTTCCAACCCAGATGAATTCCGCCAGGCAGTATCTTAGCCGTCGAGGTCCGCCGGCCCCGATTACGATCCCTTCAACTGAAGCCTTGTGTAGTGTTGAGCCACAATTGCCCACCTTTTCAACTACCGCCCAAAGTGCGCATGCGCAGCTCCAAACCCGACCACCTGATGTTCTCAAGGACAACCCATCGGCAGAGGGCTCTGGCCTTCACTCACAAGAGACTCAGCGACATCTCAACTTGCTCACGGGCGATGACGATCTACAATCCTCGGATGAATTAACTGTCCTTGAGAAAGCTCTCGCACCGCAAACTCGACTAAGGGAACTGGCTGGAGCAGGTGATGTGCGATCAGGTCCAATTCGGAAGAATCGCAGTTTTCGGGCCGATAGTTCGAAGGATTGTGGTGCTGGTCAAAATCAACTTTGTCCACAGCAGGATAAGTTTGAGCCCTCTCAGGGTCGGGGACAGGTAGGTGTGGTGCCTGCACCGTTGTCCGACCCTTCAGCGATCGCCCCCCGTGAGACACTGGGAGATTCAGCATCCACTTCACAGGTGAGCTGAAAGGTTTCCTTGTAGTCGCGTATCCTGTATCGTCTGGCTGAAACAAACGTCACGGCAAGGACATGGCACTGCGGTCCTCATCTCCACATACATTCCATAGCACTGAGTCCACTCGGCGAAATGTTATTCCTGCTCCACGCCGTTTATCTCCAAGTTCCGAGTCCTCCACCGGACATCCGCTTGACCATCAGCCTGCGCCATTAGGTGGCGCTGCCCGCACCCTTGTCACAAGCGTTTCGTGGTCTCCAACGGTATCGCCTAAGTCCGTCATCCTACCTCTCCCTAAGAACGCTGGCTCTGCAGAAGCGATGAAGCACCTGGAAGTCCCCGGGTCCGCACTGTCGAATGCTATGTCTAGTGACAGTGTTCGCAGAGATACGTATATGCCCCAATCCAGCGACCTCTTGTTTTCTCCCGAATTCATTTTTTCTGCTTTGGGTGTTCCTGAACACGCTCAAACGACCAGCGCAATCCTTCCAGAGGACTACTCTGCTGTGGCCGGTGCGGAAAATGCTCAAACCATCCGAGGTCATGAGGATGCGATTGGCCTTGAACACGTCTCAGCGTATTGGATGACGAAAGAGGATTCAGCAACATTACCTTTATCACCACCGATACTAGCCGCCCCCAACTCTGGAGGGGGAACGAGACCTCGGTCCGCTTTTGACGGTGCTCAAATTATTACCTCCTTTGCTTCACCGACAAGTGGGAAGTACAGTCCATCCATGAATCCAAAGGGAAGCAACACTGAAAATTCATTGGGAACCAAAACTCCCGTTCTCCCCCAACGAGCTCTCACCGAGCGGTCTCTATCTTTGCCCATAGAAGACGCTAGTTTGACGCGTGTTCCCAAGAACAACACCGCTACTGTAGATGTTTCGGTCTCTATCTCCAACTCTGTCCAAGCCTCTCGCAGTGATGGTTCGAGTCGTTCAAGGGGTGCCGCGCAGGTTGCAGTGAATGCGTTGTCACGTAAGGGGTCCAAGGATAGGTTGGCGTTGATGGCGGATGCGAAGAGACTCTTTGGTGGGAACACCGAGTCCCTGAAGGTGGATACAATCAGGGATGGTGTCCCTGTCAGCGGGCGATCGAGCAGCACGTTTCCCTCAATGTTGAACATTGCGGAACGAGGGAACTTTTCTTTTCCAATTCCTCGATCCAAAGGACCCCCAAGCTGGAGTCCGAGCAGCTCTGCGATCCCCCCTCAATACTCCTCGGGATCGTCATCCTCGCAAGGTTCTTCCACCGCTTTCTCTCGACTCTCGCCAACCTCTCAAACTCCGCCTTCGTCGGAGAGCGGATTCCTCTCTTCTGCATTCCCTCGCCATAAACATACCGTATCTGAGCAAGCAGATCTGCCCCTCAAACCTATCTCCGTATCGTCTCGGGGTAGGAGTGCAAGTGATGCGGGACACTTGCCCTTGTCTCGGCACAAGACGTACACTGGTTCCTCGCTTCTGTCGATCGTCACTTCACCTCAGAAGCAGTCATTGAAAGATCTTGAAAAAGTGGTTGAAGATCCGGGTCAGGAAGGAAGCTTATCTCCCTCCTTTCGGGGGGATACAGAGAGGATGCGAAAGGGGCTCCAAACGTCAAGACAAGGGACTTCTGCTGAAAGTCAGCTCCGCGTGGCGCCACCCAAATCTTTCAGGATCGAGAGCACGCCGCTTCGTATCGACGTTTCCGCTCGCACGCTATCCAATCGTACACGAGAAGCTCAACCCAGCGCATTTCCCGTCACCCCCAGAGACTCCTTCCTCTTAATTTCATCTCGTGAGCAACCAGGCGATGACAACTTGCTGGGACACATTCCAACCCCCGTGATCACGATCCCCGCTCTGGACATTCCCGGTCCTAATGCTCGACCTCTAGCTCCACCCGTGGGTCCCCGAAGTCGACCAGCTAACCAGCCAACATTTCCAGACTCATCCATTCGTGCATTACGTTCCATGCAATCGGTGTCATCCGGCTCGCCTTCTGACGATGCAGGAGTACCTTTGTCAAGCCCCTCCCGGGAGGGATCTGACTCTTCTCCTTTGTTTGATGACATACCTATCAAATGGAAAGGTTTGACACTTGACCAGGCCAAATGGACATTCACCTCTAAGGAACTCCAGAGCCTGGTTGCCCAAGCGATTGTTCAGTCCACTGCTGTCACATCGATACGATTGCTGAGCGAGGAGGTATTGGAAAAAGAATTGCCTGTTGAACTGGAGCGCCTCGAGGACCTACGCGACAGCATCAAGAGTAAGTTGCAATATCAAATCCGCCGAAGAAATGTCATTCTCCGTTCTTTGCCCCTGCATGTTGACAGTCCTGATGTCAAAACGGCTCGACGTTTGATGTCAGACTTGACAGAGGTATCTCATTGGTTCGAAGAGTTGACATCGGAGCTATACACTGTCATGGACCAAATTGCGCAAATTCGGCAATTGCGTGATAATCATTTGGCTAGTGCCCTTATGATGGGTTTGCAGAAGATGAATGGGGCCTTTTTGCGTGTATCCTCTGAGAATGAGCTGCTCTCTCAAACTTTGATTGACGTGGAGGCGGAGCGAGATGAAGGGTGGGGGAAGGCGCTGGAGGTTGAACGGGAGTTGGACGAAATGCGAGGAAAGTTAGCTGTTCCACAGAATGGCGATTCAGCCATTGACTGTGGTCCCAGTAGTGGTCATCGCAGCAGAGTGTCAGCTGCACGGAAGACTAGTTCCCGGGCCTCGAAAGCTAGTCTTCGCACCAATCACCCTCTTAGAAGTGCTCGTCCGTCCCACAGCGGCATGAAACTTGGTAGTCTCACATTCCCTTACCCACCTTCCTCTATGGCATTTGATTCAGTTGATACCAGCGCTCCCCCCGTACCTGACCTTCTCTCCCCGACTCGGCAAAGCATGGACCGGCATGATTCAATGACATCGCGACTAACTTCCACTCCCTCTGTTACTCGCGCTATGTTCCTCGCTCAACACGAAGTTCTAGAACTTCTAGGGCTTTCCACCGCAGATCTTGACGATCTTGGAAGACATGATAAAGGGAAGACTCGATCGTGGTCTGCTTCGCAGTTGACAGATCTCCCTCTAACAACCTCATCACGACGGTCTTCAGCCCACCTCCCTTACAGTCCTCGATATTTTTAAACTTCGACACTTCAAATCACCGCACACGTTAATTGTGCGCATGCCTTCGTCCTGTCTTTTGCATACTCTCATACACATTCTGTTTTAATTCACATTAGCAAGTAATCACTGAATATGATCATACATGAATATCCGGCGCGCTGCCGCATAAGTTAGCGATTAAATCATCAGATACAGTGGTACACATAAGATCGCCGAAACAATTGTTGCGGAATGAGTGCTGCACATATAAGAATGCCATATCAATTCTTGTCATGTCACCTCCGAGCCCTTTTCCTTGCGGACTTGAAATCTGCCACACTTGCTTGGCTTGCCTGTGACAACGGCTTTTGTGAGGAATTTTGTTGTCGCTCGATGAGTGCTGAGATCGCCTCAGCATCTCCACTGTCCGAGACATCATCTCGATCGTAATCAGGTGTTCGTTTTCGTTTCCTGGCTGGAGTTTCTGCTGAGGAGATCCGCACTGGCGATCGTGAGGGTGATGAAGAGGGTGGAGGCCTCATCCGCGGTCGTGGCCGAGCGCCTAGTTGATCAGTGCTCTTGGATGTTACTTCAGGATCAGTCTCGCCATCTCCGAGGATATCTCTGGATTGCGGATCTTTTTCCAGATTCATGGGTGGTCTGGGGGGCAATGAATCGCCATGGTTCCCCGTCAGTGATTCATCATCAGTGACGCCTTCGCCTGATCTCGCAGATGCCTTGGAAGCAGCTGCTCTGCCCTTTGCGACAATACCTGATATAGCAAAAGAGGTTCAGGGGTATTGCACCGCTGGAGCACAGCCACGCACTCTTGTCCTTGGACATTGCTGATATGAGGCGTTTCTCATATAGGCGAGCAGCGTCCCAACCCCTGGAAGTTGGAGGGATTTCCAGGCTAGAGGCTTCCAAAGTCTTATCCAGGTGGGATTTACTGTTTTGCGGGATAGTGGGAATCAGCAGCAAATTGTGGATTGGAATCGGAAGGCACACATTTTTGAAGCTTCTCGGCTCCCGACACTTGTTAGCAAAGCATGCAAGACTCGGAAGAATTCAATGCACTGCATTTTTTTTGTTCGGTTGCCGCTTGACTCATATGCTGCGATTCTTTTGATAATCCACGTTAAGCCAGCTGAATGTATTTCCACTACATGGGGAGCATCGAGTCGACGCGTGATGGACAAGTGAGCGCCTCGTACGACAAATACGGGTCCAAATGCTTTGGCAAGGCCAATGCATGCCTGAGAATCTGTTTGACCGTCCATAAACATTGTGAAAGACTGAAATAGACGTGAGTGGGACCGAGGGATGACATGTGATTATTGCCCACCTGACGCAGAGCCTCATTCACTATTGTGGCCACCAGTTCACCGTTATTTTTGAACATGCCCTCTTCCCTCAAAACCGAAACCAAAGTGGAGAGACAATGATCAAACTGGCTCCCGAGGAGACCGTGGTATGCGAGCAATGTCGATGAGTGGCGTGGGCTCATGACTCCAGCAGCGATGGCACGAAGGAAATAATTGGCAACCGAAATGAAGTCATGCTCACTCTCAAGTTTTAAGCGGCTGAGGGGTTGCTCGTGTTTGCTCGCTTTGGAGGCCTTCTCACCACGCTTTTGATTGCTCGACTGTCCGTTTTCGCTCTCGCTGCCTGATTCATCGCTGCCACCAACGCCGTTCTCATGAGTCACAGGGCCACGAGATTCAATAATATCTTCGTGGAATCGTTCTGCCTCTGCTTGCATAAAACCAGCGCACTGGTATTGCAACCTGTCATCCATCTTGATGGCCAGTGACGCATGGACTTGATCAGATGGGAAAAGAATATGGAGGACGACGAAGTTTTGAAATGCCTGACATACAGTCAGCCAACCTGATGTCGCGTCCCCGTGTAGCAATCTTACCGTCCGCTTCACCGCTTCGCTCGCGTTTGAATTGTTACCACCGATATAATCTTGCAGGAGGCGCAGAAGGGCATTCCTTCTTTCCAGGTCGGGTTCGCCGAAAGAGGAACCCTCTTGCGACGAAGATGACTCCGGACGCTGCTTATTCACTTTCCATGTGACATATTGTGTCAAAATATTAAAGCAATTTTGGACCAGCTGCAGGGAATTAATCAGTTGTCTCAGACACCTGGTGAAAAACAACCTACAGTATCCTCTTCCTTATGACCAAGACGTCCACGTTCCGCTAGGGCCAAGATGATATCCCAAGATGATGATTGTTTGCCATTGTCGTCATCTTCAACCCAAGAGGACATGTCTCGTCTGGCGGAAAGCAGCTGAATTCGCAGCGTAATCGCCGCAAGGGACACTACTTCGTCTTCGTGGAAACTGCTAGCCTCTATTTCTTCTCGACCCGAGACGACGGCCCTCAGTGATGATGAAAGTTCATCGTCGAGCTCAACGAGTTTTGTCGAGTTGGTAGCGGAGAGGGCAGTCGCTTGGAGAAGGTGCATCATTGTAAGAATTGCGCTGGACACAACTGCTGGCGATGATTGGGTCAAGATTTGCTTGGATATGTCATCCCACAAGCCCTCAAATGCCTGCTCGGTATGAGGTAAGAAATAGATACGATTGACCCACGTCACTCACCGTAAGCATTCTCATTTCCAAATACAAATTAGCGTTGAGTAGCCTGGGAATGGTAAGAATGTCAATCATCCGAAAATCGTCTGTCTGGTGTTTTGAGAATAGTTGCGGAAGTGCTTTCATCAAAACGCGAGTAAGGTCATTCCGGACAATGTCGGCATCCGACTACAGGGAGAGTGAGGGGATGTTCCAAGAGTAGTGGCAGAAAGCACTCACTGTCTTTTTGCTCACAGAGTCTGCAAGAGTTTTTTGCAACGACGCCAGTAGGACATTCAACAGAGCAGTCTCTTCGGTTTCTTCTAGCCTCCATGCTTCGTCGGCAATATCTTCATCGTCCTCACCTTTCCGTTTCTTACGAGGAGAGGCCTGTGACTTCTTTCGGAGTTTCGACGCTGATGCAACGACACTTTCGGCAGTAACATTGCCGGAATGGTCCAGTAACAAGAGCTGAAGAATAGCTTCCCAGTTTGGGATAACATCAATTTGGTCCCAGAGCGCTTCTATCGCAAGGGCGACACGACTTTTTTGCTCCGCAGCGAGAACCATGATATCAAACGAACTAGGCTCCTTGGAAGTGACTCTCGTCCCCGAACCATCCTCAGACTGAAGCGGCACCCCGGTTTTCGCAAGAACGTTCTCCCAATTTACAAGTAACAAAGCGAGCGCTTTTGCTCCTGCAAAGCTGCGCTCGCGGTCATCATGCGCATTTCGCTTCACTAAACGTTGTGCAACGGTCTCATCCCATACTCTCCGGACGAACGCGCTGATCGCTTTACGGACGCGAGGTTCTTGGTCAAAAATAAGGAGACAAAGCAATGCGCGTTGGTCATCGTCCAGCAGGGCGTTCTTGTCAATGGCCTCCAATACTTGAATCACAGCGACACGAACGGAAAGTTCCGTATCATGTTTAGCCATTGCCACCAATCGGGATTTGAAGCGTTCAGTGAAATGCTGTAGAGTAATAAGGTAATCCTCCTTTTGGTACAAAGCAAGTAGCGATTTGACTGCTTCGAGGCGCACGTTGGTGTTCTAGCGAGCTGTTACATAGAAGTGCAAGGCGAAGAAAAGTGATCGCACTTACGGCATCGGACAGGACCCATCCCACATATCGCAGATAGTTGCCTTCTAAGAAGTATCCAGGATGTCTTTTGAGCCAAACACCCATTTCTCTAACACAGTCCGCTCGGATGCCTGCGTCAGAATCGCGGTATCGATGAACAAAAACTCTTGAAAAGAGAATGAGAAGACAAACAATGGGTGATAGGTCAACTTTCGTACCCATCGAAGAACTCCTTGAGAAACTCGTTCATCTTCGTCCGCTTCTCTTTGATCCCTGCAGCCTTCGTCCGCAACGCATTCTCCCTTTCACTTGGCTTGCTGGAACCCTTGCGACGCTTCCGTTCGCCTTCTCGTTGCCTATTAATCATCTCTGCCTCTTTCTCGATCACTGCTGCCACCGATGAAAGTGCACTTTCCAATTCTAATGCTACCACTGTTGCGGTATGACGAAAACTCCTCAGCTGGGCAGATGACATCGCAATGACCCAAATCTGAAGAGTAGGGACCAATTCCGTCGAGAAGAGCATATCATTCTCAGATGATGAGGCTATTAGTCGATCCAAGAACTCGGAGATGGACTTCCTCAGCTTGCGAAAAACTGGGGCTTTAGATGATAAAGGGTATTGTTGTGATTCAGCCTGCTGGGCGCATGAGTGTTCGTTGTATCAGAAGCATGGTAACGGGAACCCTGATATCTTACCTCCTTGACTTCTTCGACAAGATCGCCCAGAAAATCCACTACACCATCACTGTCAACGACGACATGTGAGTCGACGGTAGAATTACAGCCACACAGTCGCAGGATGCAAGTTATCAACTCCGCTAATGCAGCGTCAGCATTGGCCTCTAGTGAATCGAGGAAGTCTTGGACGGTGGATTGGAGTGCGGCAGCTGAGTTCAGCAGCGAATCTAAGTTGACACCGAATGAGTCATGAAAGTGACAAGAAAAATGATCGTGAAACGAACTAAAGAATGAGTTATCATCATTTATCGACGCGTCTTTCACGCTGTGGCTCTTTCCCGCAGCTTTGGTTCGCATAGTTTTGGGGATTGCAGGCGCAGAACGCGCCTTTCTGGGTGCCGACCGCGGTGCACGTTTCGGCTTCGTCATGGATCCCCGCAACTGCGTAGGACGAGGGTCAGCATACTCAGGCTCCTCATCATCCCCCTCCCCTTCCCCTTCGGTATCGAGATCATGCTCTAATCCATCGTCCTCAAAGTCATCTTCCTCGTCGGGATTAATCCCAGGTTTTGAAAGGGAGGGTGAGGCTGTGTGAAAAGTTAAGGTCATGGGCCTTGCCTAAATGCCTTCATACATACCTTTGACATATTCCTGCGTTTGTTTGCGTTCTCTGGTCGACCGCCGCAAGCTGTTCGTCGTTGACATCGTGGACGGCGGGATGAGCGGCATTCGCCGGCACAATATCTGCCACGGATGCAACAATATTGCGAGACACAGCCATTATTGCATTCGTGTCCTTTCATTGTCTTAGGTTCGGTTGTGCTGGCTCCAATCGAGGCCTTGGGGTCTTCATGTGCCCCTGATGCATCCCCATACCTACTTGCTTCTCGTATTTTCTCTTGCCTTCGCATGCAGTCTAGCTTCATTTCACGACTCTCAACTGATCAGGCGGGGCAGCTTGGTACCACCCCACACCGAAGCAGAAGAGCTTCAGTTGGGAGATGTTGTCCTGGCGGCATCCGTTGATGGAAATTTTCATGCCTTTGACCGGATAAATGGGCGGCTGAAATGGTCGATGCAGACCCTCCCTTCAGGTCCAGCAAATCAGTCGTTGCTCTATCCCCTCGTCCACTCTGAGCAGCCGTCTCTCCACGATATTCATGATGATGGTTTCCACCTTCACGAGACATTCGTTATTGAACCCCAGTCTGGAGAGATCTTCATCCTTCCTCCAGGAGGGTTGGCCGACACACCTCTGGAACGCCTCCCGTATACTATCATGCAACTTGTGGATCTTTCTCCTTTCCAATTTCCTGGGGACGACCAGAGAATGTTTCTTGGGAGAAAAGAGACCAGCATGATAACACTGGATTTGAACTCCGGGAAAGTTTTATCTGTATACAAAGACGATCAGTGCATTCGGGAGGAAGCAGGAGGAAGCGAACTCGGAGGACATGACGAAAACTCACTCCATAATTTTGAGGACGGTGGTTCAGAGCACGGTCGGACTAAGTCACCACCGCCAAAGCCAATCCGCATCGGGAGAACTGATTATCATGTGTCAATCCGCATCAAAGGCCAAGGCATTGTTCAGCGTTTGTCCTTTTCCGCGTATGGCCCTAACAATGTAGACAAAGAACTTCAAACACAGTGGGTTAAGACTCCGGATGATCGCTACGTCCAGTCTCTCCCTAGTGGCGATATAATATCGTTCAGCCTTTCAGACGCGGGATCTCTAAATCCTGGCACATCAGGGATGGGATCTAAAAGTGGCCTGGTAGCGTGGCATGGGGAGCTTCCCAAACCGGTGTATGTGATTTTTGGTTACCAAGACACTGCAGTCTAATTCGCCCTTTAGAGTTGCCGTTTTCGATGTGCTGACCAGCCCATCTCGCGACAACCCGTTTGTATTGATACAACCTCAACCAAAGCTTATAGACATATTCCAAGACCCCCGTCATCGTGCCCAGATTGCTGAACTCCCCGAAAGTACTTTCGTTGGACTTGTTGGTGATTCACTCTATGCGATGAGCCACTTGAAGTTTCCCATGGTTGTCTTTTCTGACGCCTTGCCTTATCATTTTGACCGCTCGAGCGACGGATCTACTGAACTTGTGGCGTCGTCGAGGCTGGATCATAATGGCCATTGCAGAAATGCTGAATGTTATCTTGGAACTCATCCATCCCGATTTGCTGCCTCTTCCCGCATATCTAGGCTGATTGAGGGAAGCGAGCAGCTGCAACAGATCGATGCCTCACCTCCCAACGCGACCGCGCCCACCCCTGCTAACTATGCGCCGTTACCTATCCCTTCCACCATCATAAGCATTCTGGCGCCTTTTAGTATCATTTGGATTGGGACCTCGGTTTTCACCCTATGCTGCATCGTCGGGTACACCCTGTTGCTCCGTAAGTGGGGAATTGGGACAAACGAGAAGGTCATATCAACGGATTCCGTTGCCGTCCTCGACAGAGCCCCTTTTCCAGGCGGTGCGCATGATGGCACTGAACTGGAGGGCGAAATGGACTCTCCACCCAAAAATCCGATGTCTCCGGCGCCTCCTACGGTAGTGGGTCCCTCTGGGACGGGCGAAGATGCACAGGCTGAGTCAGGAGGCAATGTGGACAAGGAAGAACGACGGACGCGGCGCAGGCCGAGAGGAAAACATAAGGGAAAGGGAAGAAAGGAGAAGAGGACGTTGGCAAGGAAGAGCTTGATGGTTCAGATACCCCCCTCCGGTCGAAAGAGGGTGTCCCCCAACGCCAGCAGCAACAGGATATTGAGAACACAGTTGATGACGCTTCAATTGACAGGAATCCAAACCTAGCATTAACTGTGTCAGATAACATTCTCGGTAGATCTTCCACCTCGTGCTCTTTGATTATTCATTTACTCACAGCTTGCCAGGCTATGGCTCTCACGGGACTGTTGTGTATCAAGGATCCTTCCAAGGCCGTGCAGTCGCTGTGAAGCGACTGCTGCAAGACTTCGTCAAAGTAGCGTCCCGAGAAGTCGCACTCTTACAGGAGTCCGATGACCATCCCAATGTCATCAGATACTATTATCAAGAGACCAGAGACAATTTTGTGTATATTGCTCTTGAACTGTGCCCGCTTCGCTCGAGGATGTGATTCAACGTCCAGTCGCTTTTGGAGAGATCAATGCAACCTTTGTCCCCAAACGCACCATCTCACAAATCACGGCGGGATTGCAGCATCTTCATTCCCTCAAGATTGTTCACCGTGATATCAAGCCTCAAAATATCCTCTTCTCCCAAGCCAAAAATGGCCAGCATCGTATGCTCATATCTGATTTTGGACTCTGCAAGAAGCTCGAGTTGGATGAGACCAGTTTTGTGCCAACTCGTCATGGGCATCTTGGTGCGGGTTCCATAGGATGGCGGGCGCCGGAGATCTTAAGGGGAGAAGTTAATCTCGACGTAACCATCGTTGATTCATTGGGCGGCCCAGATTGTGATTCCAATACTGGAAGTATGGGTAGTGTTGGTCCGAGTGGGGTACCTGGACATGGTAATGGCGCTCGCACACGTTTAACGAAATCAGTGGATCTCTTCGCACTTGGGTGTTTGTTCTATTACACATTGACAAACGGCGAACATCCCTTTGGAGGACCATTCGAGCGTGAGGCAAATATACTGAAAGATGCGATAGATCTTAGTTGGCTGGAACGCTTTGGCGAGGAGGGTATAGAGGCGAAGGACTTGATAAATAAGATGCTTGATGCACGGCCGCGTCGACGGTAAGAGGGTCAGCATGATACTGGCGTACTGATGCTAACCGCTCTAAAGGCCAGACACGGCTCAGTGTCTTGTCCACCCCTTCTTCTGGACGCCTGGACGACGGCTCACATTCTTGCAAGATGCCTCGGATAGGTTCGAGATCATGCAGCGCGATCCTCCCGAGCTCGGCCTCCAGCGGCTTGAGGCTGGTGCTCCGGACGTTGTGGGAAATGACTGGAGCAAGAAGTTTGACAAAGCCTTTATCGAAAACTTGGGAAAATTTCGTAAGTATAACGGACGGTCCATTCTAGATCTGTTACGTGCACTCCGCAACAAAGTATGTTCTTTCTGCCTTCCTTTCTGTGCGTTGAATCTCATTTTACTACACAGAAACATCATTATCAGGACCTTCCAGAAAACTTGAAGCGTCACCTTGGTTCACTCCCTGATGGCTTCTTGGCATACTTCACACGCCGATTCCCTGCGCTCTTTCTCCACGTTTATTATGTCATAGCTGATGGTCCATGGCAGGAAGAGTCCATATTTCGACCGTACTTCCAAGAGCCTTAACCTGCGAGATCTTCCATTCATCTTCAAATCGTACCTTACATGTATTAATCAGTGTAGATTTATTTTGTATTTTACTTGTTCGTTCGCCCTTTGGAAGATTCGTGATGATGGAATGCACACGGCACCAGAGTGGTTGCGTAGTGTAAAACCGGGACAATTATCTGCATTGAATTGTGAGCGACACTTAGATTGACACGCGCTGTCGATCATGCGAGATGTGACAATCGATCGCGCAATTGGGATCCAACGGGATCAAATGAGACTTGGGTTCGTAGCCTTTGATGAACACTAGTAAGTACGTAGAGCAGTCAGCCTCTGCATCCATTCGCTGCGTCACACGATACTCGGCGCGACTGCACACTTTTCCGGACATTAATTGGTCCTAGTGCAATCCTAATGATCGATCATCATTACAGTATTCCAGCGTTGCTGCACCCTGAGGCATGGTAACACACATCTCTCTCTTCCGGCTATCAGGTGGTAGGCTGCGGTGGCTTTTCCCTTTAGCTTCGTCGGGGTCAGGAGAAGATGGGTACCCTTAACGTATTGTTATTTGTCCGGGCAGTTTGAATTCTGGGCGGGTCAGATTTTTTAGATAGACTCCGTCCAGGGCTGTATAGTTTCTAAAGTATCTATCTCCACATACCCGAACTGCCAAACTGATGTTTGGATCATCAGTAGCAGAAGTTGATGCTCGGCAACTCTATATGGTTACATCACCTTTGTGGTTGGAAGTTATTCTATCTCCGTAATGCATTCTAACGCTCCATCTTCGACGTGCGTGACGTTCTCATCTGCCCACTTCCATCTCTCCTTCATAGCGTCCTCCACCCCCAAAATGACGAAACTAGTCACAATGATCAATGAGCCAAATATGACCTGCCCTCCTGCATTGACCCCAGTGAAAGTAAAATCCCCGAGCAAGGCAAACGGCCCCGTAAGACTTGATCCGATAGTAACAATTAGCGGAGTCGTCTTCAGCAAGGCTATCACGTAGAGAAAGCTGGCTAATACGCTAAGGATGGTCTAAGAATGGAACGGATGAGCATAAGCATCGCGTCGTACGCGCCATTGAAACGTGAAACTCTTATCACATTTGTAAGAATGGCACACCATTGTCGCCCTGTCTCTGGAAGTGCGAAAGCCTCAAAACCCGTCAAATGAAGCATGATACCCAAAATCCACAGGGTCGCGAGATTGTAGATACCGACGTATCCGAAGAACAATCTTGTGTTGATGCGAGACTCGTCACCAACCCGGGCCTTGAGCAGAGTCACGCAGAGTGCAGAAAAGACTGCTGACCAGAATGCCAGGAAATCACCCAAGATGGGGTTGCGCCCGCTAGGGACTGTGGGCGAGGATAAGATAGTGATTGCAGTTGGTGAAGGCGAGGTCTCAGAGTCGGATAGGGAGACCAGCGTAACTCCTACAAAGCTTCGGAGATGTCAGCGAGATGGGACACAAAAAAATTCACAGTTATTATGGACTCACCAGGCAATTACTGCACCGAGTCGAGTGAAGGAAAAAGTCTCTACATTGAAGATCCGTCCAACGATTAAGGTAACGAGTCCTGTCGGTGGGGAAGTCGGATTGCGAGTCCCTTCAATCAATTGCTTTCCGAGAGACGGGTAAAGAACCAACCGCTTGTTGAAGTAAGGATAGAGCAACTGGCGACTGAAGTGAATTGCAACGAGGAATTGAAGGTCCAGCATGCTAGGAACCATATAATACAGTAAACCTTTGCGAGATCAGCCGTCTCCTGACGAGAAAGCTGAGGTGGTGATTTTGGACTGGGAGGAGCTGTTCGTCTGTCGGAGAGGCTGGTACTCATTTGGCGCCGAGGTCCTGGCAGTTGGGATTAGTTCATCGAGATGGCTTACGTAATATATTGTGGAGTCCCACTCACGACCCCTCTCAAAGAGCAGGGGAATCAGATAGACCGAGAATCCCGAGATAGTTAAGTACGTTAAACTGCGCAAACATTGAATTCAGTCACGCAGTCAAAATATAAAATGTTGGAGAAACACCAACAAGAAAGGTTTCTGGAAGCCATCATCGAGTACATCCTGTGGTTACAAAGGGGGCACAATGAGTTCACTCAGAAGCGGAAGGCGCAGAGGCGCAGATTTGTGTACCACCTGCGTGATAAAATATGAAGCTACCCATAGGAGTACGACCGCTAGCAAGATAAGGATACCTTGAAGGTATCTAGAAGGACTAGTCCGCTGGGATTATAGGAATGGCTTCGTTGTGTGCATCCAGGTAGGGATCGACCTGTGCTAGTAGATGGCAGCTGGGATGGATGACTATCCATAAGCAACCGATGGCTGAAGAACCCCGGCATACTCCGACAGGGGTTCATTCGGAAGCCTTCCACTTTGGCCCTCAAATTTTGGGTTTCCTAGACCCATTTAGCCTCCTGAAAGGTTGAGCCTTGCGAGGCGTCATAAGATTGACCGGGCATACATGATATTCTTTTTCGGCCCCGCGGCGTGAAGCGCCGCCACAATGGTATCTGCTTTAGTAGAGGCTGGGATCCTGCTCTGACAAGGATACTCAGACCCAAAAAGACATGTTGATTTACCTTGGTCCCGCGTACCCTCCCCCAAGCCCACCTGAAACTTCTTAATTGCATCCATTCGTGACATGGCACGTCGGGCCTAGTTTCGACTTCTAGGCCTACCAGTTGCTGCCGGTGACTGGTCTTCTGCCACAGTGGTACTTCGGGTGGACATCCTCTTCGCAGCGGCGCGGGTCCGCTCTGCTTTGGAGGCGCCGACCTATCCTCATGCCATGACACCGCGCCTTGATCGCATAGGCAAATATAACAATGGGTTTATGGAACGAGCCGGTACATGTTCCGAAGCGTGTAGCAAACGCCAGGGAAAAGGATGTGAGTACTGGGACCGGGGGCACTCTGTAGACCAAATGCCCCCCGGAGCGCTATCAGATCAAAGTAAACACACAGAACATTTCCTTGCGCGAGTCTGCGATTTCTCCTTTGAAAATAGCTTCTTACATAAATAGAATAAGACCCTCTGTGAATACGCAAAACTGCGTCCGCCCTGTTTGACAAGTCAGCACGCAAGGCGCATTGTCCCGATGGGCAGCACAGAATTCTCATTTTCAGTCTAAATTGGTAAAAATCCATCCACACTCCTTAAAAATCACCATCGACATGGAGTTCGTTAAAGCAAGAGAGTTTCGCATGCGAGAGAAAACAAGAAAGAGCAGAAATATGAGACTCCAGAAAGCTACCGCCCTCATGCGCCGTACTACAAGTACATCAAAAATTACGTCAGACACGACTGAAAAGCCCTTCGACAAGTTGCAGCTTACAGTAAGGGTGAGCCCCGTAGCCCAAGGACTGGGCTGATGACCGATTTCGGGATCAAGGTAGGACCATCGATCAGCCGCCTCCGTCGGATCGCCGGGAGTAAGCTTGTACTCGTTCACAGTCTCATACCAATCAGTATCGACGAGCTCGCCGTCCTCATCGACTTTCTGGTAACGAACAAGTTTTTGATTTTTGATCGAAACCTTGTCGTCGACAGTGATAACAGGCTCACGGTATCTACAAAAAAATCGGGCAACCACTTAGCACCTCGTAGTACAAGTGCACAACAGGAGATCAACTCACCGTCGAAGAGTACCGGCCACGCCCTTCGTACGTGAAATATTGGGTTTAGAGAACACAGCGCGAAGAACCTCCGCAGCCACGCGGGTGACAAACGCTGGACCCAAGCTCTTGAAAACTGTATCACCATGATAATGAGCATAATCCGAAAGAGGACGTTGAGGCTCGACGTCCTCAGGGCTGATGTTCTCAGGGTTGCTAAACGCCGATTCGTCTTTTCCGACCTTGCCGAAATCGAAGTACAGCCTATCCCCCGCCTTGCTGGCGAGAGGGCCAACAGGAATGTCCTTTGTAACGACGCGACAGACACCTTCGATGACGGGATCCAAACCTTTCAGCGGAAAGCGATAATCAGTGAGTTCTCCATATTCTGCGGTTTCAACACGGAGTCAACCTACGGAGAGCTTCACGAACGTAACCCTCAAGAGTAGCGAGTACCAAAGGATCAGATCCCTTGCTAGCAAGGAGGACAATCTTTTCATAAAGATCTTGCTTCGAAGCATAATCGGCGGCATTCTTGTCCACAGGAGGGAGGTAGAAGTTGATGACATGCGTGAAGACTAAGCAGTCACAAACAAGAGTAAATTGAGGGACCAATGATCAATAGAAAGACAATGACAACACTCACTCTGCGAGAGTTCGATAGATGCGGAGGAGATGACGCCAATGATATCGTTGGCAACCTCATCAAGAGGAGCACCCAAACCAAGAAGACGTTTGAGAACACGATTAGTAAATTGAGGTACATCGCCAAGGAACCACCCGGCAAGACCGTTGATAAGAGAGACAGGAAGCTGTTGATCCCAGAATCAGTGGACCTCGCTTCGTTTCCGTTCCATGAATCATGAAGGAAAAACACTCACACTGCCCTTGGCCTCCACCAAGCTAAGCTTAACGAATCGGCGGAGACGAACTACATTGGCCCTCGCCTCCCTCTGAGCCGGAATCTCCAAAGTGGCATCACCCTCGATGAAAATATACGAATGGATCTCCTTGAGCATCTGATAGATCTGTTGCTCGTAGTAGAGTCCGTGCGGCTGGAAGGCCGTCTTCACAGGTAGCCCAGCCTGCATTTTCCCCGCAAGGAGAAATAGAAAGAAAGGGAGAAGAATTCAGAACAACTCTGCCTTTCCCCCAAGTTCTCCAGAATAAGAAGAAAAAAAAAGGGGGGGACTCACAACCCGAAGCGAGACCCAATGAACCGGGACAAGCCTCAACACCTCCTTCACGATATCCACATACTTCGGTCCACCCTTCTCCAACACAGTATACGACTTCTGTCCGATCAACTCGATCGTCTTATTATAGAACCACTTGCCATTATCCGCCAACTCCCTATCAGGAACGAAAACTTCCTGCACCAATTTCGTCACCTTCTCCCATGACCTTGGATCATCGATCACCGTCAAATAACTGGGGCTGAGCCCAACGTTCTTGATACGTTGGCCGTAGAGTGTGATAAGACCCTCTGTTACATGGTCTGCGTCCCCGAGTCCGTCATAGATAGCATTCGGATCCGAAATAAGGTACGTCTCTCCAATGGGCGGGGGCGGAGTGAAGGTATATTCCTTCGCTTGCCCAAGTTTAGCTAGAATCTTATCCATGGAGAAACGATGCCCGGTTGGGCGGATAAGTGGGAAGTGAGTGTAAACGGAAGTGGAGTTGAAATGACGAGGTAGAGTTCGAGCAAAAAGTTTGCCAAGAACACCACCCCATGAAGCGTTCTTCACGTTACGGGCACCGTCGAAGAAGCCCCAAGTTGTAAGGTTAAAGGGAGTGAAATCGTACGTGAGGTATCGATCTCCCCGAACGAGGGCAACAGCATCGGCGAGGATAGCACGAGACATGGTATCTATCCATCGATGGAAGAAAAAAAAAGAAAAAAAAAGCCGAATATCAACCAGAGGCCAAAAGAAAAGAAAAACTGGGATCTCTCACTCACAAGAAGGACATAATCCAGCTCCGTCCATGACCTTCTTGCTCTCCTCCGATACCAACCCCACATACAACTCCAAGTTATCCGTCGTCCTATACAGCTTCTTAGCAGCATCTGCGACGCTCTTATCAGGGTTCCACTCTTCGAACGTCGCATAAGGCTTCAACCCCAAAAATTTCCTAAATTCATTCAACGAGCATGATCCCCAGTTCCTGGCCTGTTCGATACCCAATATTTCGATCACCCTCATCACTCCAGGTACGCCTCGAGCTTGGAATGCGTGCGCGGGAACGGACGTCGCACTAACGAGAGCCCTAGCAAGAAGTTCATCTTTATATTTCTTGGTGTCGGGGTCTCGAGGGTTAACGTCCCATTTACCATCCGCATCCTTGAACCCACGGAAGGTAAACAGATCAAGAAGATAATCAACCGGTTTTCCATCGTTAATGACGTCGTTGAGTTGGGGCTCCGTTAGGCTGTCGAGTGCAGGCGGGGTAGCCTTCGCATCACTGCCATCCTCCTTCTTGAAGCTCTTGTACAACACCTGAAGTTGCAGCGCTCCAAGAGTTTGTTCGAAAATGTCGGGAGTAAGCTACAAGAACCCTCCGCCAAAAGAAAGAAAGCCAGAGATCAGCCGCATGCACTTCCACAACCAGAGGCAACCCCCCCAAAAAAAAAAAAAAAAGAAAGAAAGAAACACACCTCATCCCAGTTGGGAGGCGTCTTACCGCCGTAGAACAACCAAGAAAATCGTTCCCCCGCGTAGTCCGCATCCTCCTTGCTCATACTAGGATGCAACCTATAAAGGACGTTAAACTCAACCGAACAACTATTCCCCTGACCCCTCTCCAACAGCCGATGATCACTCTCCCGCCTCTCCCCCTGAATGTTCAACGTCCAGCTCGATCCATCCCTCACAGTTCCCAAAATAGCCGAAAGGTAATCACCCAACACCACGCTCGCATACGTCGCAGAGTTGATCAACCTCGCCGTGTTGAAAATTTCGTGGTCCTGCTTCTCAAGTATCTTCCGCTTGGCCGATTTCCTTGGAGCTGCCGCTTGCGTCGCTGGATCTTTGATCACTTCAGGTGTGCCGCTGTAAGGTGGTTCGGGTTCTTGAATTTTACTGAGGTCCTGCTCCCACGTTCCACGTTCGTTGATACGCAAAAGCAAGTCTGCAATGTACTGAGAAAGTTTTTTTTTTTTTTTAAAAAAAACAAAGGTCGAAGAGAAACCCACGGTAAGCTACTTCGGAGGAAAACAAAAAAAAAGGATTACTCACATTATGGTTCCGGTTAAAAACGATCAACAGAGCCACCACAGCAGGTGGCAAATTCAACAACCTCGTTTCCGCGAACACATCAGGAAGGATCTTCCCCCTCCCATCAACATATCGAATCTTATCCTGATGAGCTTGAGTATTTCCGTAGAGCATCCCCAAATCGACGTAGGAAGACGTTTCGTTGATGTTCCAATCGATACGGGAAGTACGGAATACGCTGTGAATGACGCTAGTCTAATCAAGATTGATAAGTTCAAGATTAAATTCCAAGATCCAGAAAAGTTTCTCCTCAACTCACCGCATAATTGAAGAACAATCCGCTCAGTCCAGCAGGATGTTCCTTAAACTTGGTCTCATTCCTCTTAATCAACGCGTCGTACACTAATCCAGCCTCAGGCAAATCAGCCACGGGAAGCGGCCTCAACCCGGTGCAACTCCTGGAATAAGGTGTGCCCGCCTTTCCTATATTAGGATTCAACGGGGAGTTCCCACTTCCATCCGCAGATCGGAATTGGTAATCTTGGCCCATTTGGGTGGAAGGTGGGTGGGGGAGGTCATAATAAAGAGTTCGGATAGCACCATGTTCGATGGGAGTTGTTATTGCAGGGTCAGCGCGAGAGAGGAAGGTCAGGAGATATTCAAGCTGAGTTTGTTTTTGACGATGGAAGTGGAGAGATGTTTGAAGCGGAAAAGGCAAGAGGAAAGGTTATTCCGAGTAGTTGGAAGACAAATAAATAAACCAATCACTTACAGCTAACTTCCTGTCATCGAGACCCTCGGTGAGACCAGCTTTCGTTCCTGCAATGTCAACCAGCGCTTCCTACCAAGCCCAAACGACATAACGCCATCAATATGAATTCCACAAGCAACAACATCGAGAAGCAATACTCACAGTAGCTTTAATAGGATTAGCAGTGACAGGCAATCCCCTCTTTACCTGAGCCCTGAGACCTTCAATCCCGGTTGCGACCAAACCTTCGGGTTTACTCTCATCATAGTCCTCTGTGACATCAGGCAATGGTGCGAAGGATCGATGGATAGCCTCTACGCCCAGTGCAGCGTTCTCAAGAGCTCCATCGACTGCTCTAAGGCCCCTGTAGACAACTCGAGCGCCAAGAACCGTTGGGGACGGTAGGCCAGACATGTCTTTCGTTCGATTTTTCTTCTTCCACTGGTTGAAGTATGTTCGTGACTGAAGAACAAAGAGAAGGGAGGGAGTGATGATAATGATTAGGGATGAAGTGCTTTATTAAAAGGACTTGCATCTCCCCAACAAAATGCAACTGAATGATGAATATGTGAAGAGAGGCATATACAATTGAACCCTGGAAAATACGACCTGAAAGGGGAAGAGGACGGCTGCGGCACGGTTAAGGATCCTTTATCGCGTTGTACGGATGCTCATCTCCGCTGGGTGTCAAAATGTTGATTGGAGGAAGAGCTAAATGCCCTCTTATTCCTAGACGATATATAGTCCTTGGGCGTAGATTTTCGAATGCGACCATCCAAACGTATAAGCCGATGGCATAAGTAGTGCGCAAGTGGGTGGCCACTTATATAATCGCTCCTTCAAGTATATTGCCACACAAATACTTTTACCAATACCCTAAAGCGGGAATTTAAAGCCAGATATTCATATTTGAAATTGAAGTTTTTAAAATTCCGGTTCCGGACAACGAGACAATAGATTCGGGCAAGTCCGCTACGAAGGCCACCACAAGGCACGGACAACAATGAAGACAAATATCTTGATGATTCAATTGGTCACCTGGGCGTGCTTTTTGGCAATCGAGAGTCCAAGTTCTAGCCTCTACTCACGACTCTTGGCAAAGGAGAGAACCGGGCTGGAACCGAGCTCATCGATCATCGTTGACGAGCTGGCGCTTACGCGGCAATCGCGTCACTCGCCGAATTATTTAACTCCTGACCCAGCATGACCGCACCACCAGTAACACGCACCTTCTCGCAGATCTGACCCAAAAGCGATAGCTTTCAACCCCGGACCCAATTTTCCGCGTTGATTACGTATTTCCCACATCGTATTCGATTCTCCCATGTTCACCTGAGAACTCCCTCGTCGCCTGAGAAAAAAATACCTGCAACTATACATATCATACTGCATCTTGTCTGCATCGCATGATGATGGAAGGTCTAAGCGCGTGCGATCCTCAATTGAGAGGGTGACCACGACGACCCGGCCACATATTTACATACTGCACACAATCCAGATAAGCGAAACCCAAAAGAGCGCGTATACAAGGATCCTAATTAACCAATCTCCCAATCTCGCGAGGCATGCATTCGCTTTGTTCGTCAGCTGGTTCGGTCGGTCTGCGGCCACGGCAAAATCAAGTCCAGTCCAGGCACAACATACATACATATACTAGAATCCATCCGGCAGATCTTGATTCTCTTTTACATACTTCCCACTTCGACTTGAACGATTCGTTTCTGTCCAATTATTTACTATCAGCATCTTCCATCCATTGTGGTCGAATTAACGCCGCCATGCAAATGCACACACTGGTCTCCGGACGCCGCCAATGACCACGTAACATTGTACATCTGATCTTACGGTAGTAAATATTGGCAGTCAGTTTTAAATAATAAATTGCTCGGACACAGGTGTCAATAGTTAAAGGGAAGATACCACCTCGGAGTACCGTTTGGACGTCAAGCCGGAGACCCTTCGGATTCCTAACGGTATGTGCCAGATCGGCCAGCAGTAACCCCGTTGCACTGGAGAAATACGGATCCCTTCGCTGTGCGTTATAATCACCCTCCGCCGACCCACACCCCAAGCAATGCAATGCCATTCGAAGGGTAGGGGGCGCATGGCACTTCCTTCAACTTAGAACCCTCCGGCCATTTTGAAAAAAATAATAATCGATTTTGGCGGGGGGGGGGACCGAGGTGGAGTCTCTTTATCAAGATCGATGGATTTGACGGCAAACCCAGTATATCCATAAGCACCCGGACTTCATTACGCCCGGGGTGGCGATTCATTTATCTTGTCCAGCCAGCAACATGGCCATCTTGAGTCGCTAAGGATAAACACATCTTGGTCTCTGCATGCATACGTCCTCGAGAGGGAGCGCATATATAAGTCTGCTGACTCGTTTAATTGACGGCGAACCCAGTATATCCATAAGCACCCGGACTTCATTACGCCCGCGGTGGCGATTCATTTGTCTTGTCCAGCCAGCAATATGGCCGGGAAAACATTTTGAGTCGCCGCAAAAGGATAATAATAATCATATCTTGGTCTCTGTATCAACCGATCATACTTGTTCTCACATGAACAGCACCTTCCATCGATCACAAAAACCCCGATGCTCTGAATTGGAGTGATGAATGGAATGCGCGCAGTTCTCGATCGACCTGGACAACCAGACTTGGTCATACTATGTACTTAAAAAAGTGCTGAAGCGTTATGTATATATTTAAATTTCTTCCCCAACCTTATGTGGGGAAGGCGTTCTAGTCCATCAAGCATCAAGCAATGGCGCCGCGACCATACCGAGAGCAAATACCGTGCGAAAGCTCGGCCAATGGGTTTTCCTCTGAACCACGCTACCGATCGCGAGCGACAGGGCGACTCCTGAGACCAGCTGTACTGTGTCCCCCATGATGAATCATCAAGCACACGGATGGTTCAGGCATTCAGGCTCCAATGTGGTGGTAAGAGACACTCAACCGTGGGTCGTCGATTCCAAAAAGGATTGGAGTCATAGTACTATGGATCTGCCAAACCTTAGGGTTCGTTGCGATCGACCCCATGTTGAGAACCTCGACCTGATCTCCATCAATGAGATGGGAAATAGGCTCAGAGGCGAAAACAACACAAGGAGTGATTACTTGTCCCACACCTTTCCTGGAGGCTATACTACAAACAGAAGAGAAATGGGCTAGAACATCGAAAAAAAACACGTCACAATGTGGGAAATCCACATCGACCACTCATCCAGAGTCGTTAGAAAGAGCCACTGCAACAACAATGAACTGCAAACACATGTTCAGAGGATAGGCAATGTTTCGGTCACATCGCTTTCTGACGTCAAGTTGTTGCGACATGGCAGTGAGCTGGACGGTAGGATAGAGTGTACGATCTATTTCCTTCCATCGTTCCGTGTGTCCTCAAGCTGTTTTTGTCCAAATGAGGAAATTTCCATTTCCTAAGCCCTCTCGTCCACAATATTATCACACCACGCATGCAAGAGACTGCGGTTATAACAAAACCAATTATGCCACGATCTATCTTGGCAATCGTCGGTATAGCCACAGTCTCGCCACGGCAGTACAATATTCCAAGCCAATGAAAACCTGCAACTTACCCGCTGCCCACCCAGATCGGAACCGATCGGCTGGTAGATCTGTAATCTCTTACCCCCCTGTTTAGTGCTTCGAGCAAAAAAAATCATAGAGCTCGCAGCGTTATGCTACGTTAAAATCCGGGAGATCAACACTCTGGATTGAAAGAGCGACCCCGAAATATGTAGTCCCGGGCGCTTCACGGAAACACTTCGATGGAGCACTGCGTACAGCTCGACTCCAGCGTGATCCAATCAATCCTCCAGCTTGGATCGAGTTCAACCATAGCAGCCACTCAAGAGCCACGGTAACGTCCAAGGAAGGAATTGAGTGGATCAGTTCAGAGCCGAAAACCAAACGGGCCAGACTCGAAAGTGTGATGAGAGTTTAGTGGATCCAATCACCCCAGGGCCCCAGAGGCGTCAGTTCATGTCGCTGAATGATATGTCAGGGGACGGTGATTTGGACACGACACCCCTGTTTCGCAATGCCCGCCTACTTACCAGTGGAGCAGCTCCGGCTGCCAAACTCCTTGGTACACCGTACAAGCAATGCGCAAGAAAAAAAAGTGGCCGACGAGCGTACAACGGTTCGTTTATCATGCGGTTGGACAAGAACAAGAGGAACCAAAAGGCTCCTTGAGGGTGGGAAAAGTAACACAGCATGAGGTGATCACATCATGTGCACGCAGGGGTGGCTAATCAAGAAATAGGTATTATTGATACATATGTATTGAGAATATTCCGATACAAGGAGTTTCTTTGAGTCATCTCAGACGAGGCTGAGAAGGGGCAGGCAAGATCATTGAAACTGATGAGCATTGCACATGGTTCAGAAGAAATGTTTCGGGTTGCAGAGGGAAAAATGATTACATACGCTAAGAGTGAGGCCAGTAGCCCAGGTGCTTGGCCTATGTCCTATGTCGGAGTCCAGATACGACCACCGATCGGCAGCTTCTTCTGGATCACCAGGCGTGAGTGTGTACTTGAAGACGGTTTCCTTCCAAGGAGTGTCAACGATATTTCCATCCTCGTCGACGGACTTGAAGTCCACTTCGACAGGTGTGGCTTGAACGGTATCGTCGACGCGGATGACAGGTTCACGGTATCTGAAAACGTAAAACAGTGTATTTGTACCTGAACACTCTATCGTTGAAATCAACCCAAGGAAGCTTTACCGTCGTAGAGTTCCAGCAACCCCCTTCGTACGTTGTACGTTACGCTGGGTGAAAACAGCACGAAGAACCTGAGCAGTAACACAGGTAACGAAGGCATCGCCCAGAGTCTTGAATACCGTATCACCACGATAGGTAGAATAAGCGGAAGCGGGACGGGTAGGATCTATAATCTCAGGGGAATCGAACGCTTGATCGTCCCTTCCGACTCTGGCTAAGTCAAAGTAGAGTCTATCACCAGCTTTGGAGGTAAGATAGCCGACGGGGATATCTTTAGTTACGATACGGTAGACACCTTCAACCACAGGATCCAAGCCTAGGAATGAGAAATGAATAGTTGAACGCGGGTGAGGTGTTCGCTCTGGGAAAATGTACGAAGAGCTTCGCGAACGTAACCCTCAAGAGTGGCATTGGTACTGGAATCAGACCCCTTGCTTGCGATAGCAATAATTTTGTCGTAAAGAGCCTTCTTCTCAGCGTTATCATCGGCACTCTTGTCCTGGGGGGGGAAGATAAAAGTTGATAACGTGGGTGAAGACTAATCGTCGGCCGATCAGTATCCGCCAGGTTGTTCCAGAAGGGGAAGACTCACTTTGATGGAAGCAGTAGAGATGACGCTAATTACATCGTTAGCGGCCTCATCTTCAGGAGTGCTGAGGTCAAGAAGACGTTGAAGGACACGATGATGTTGATGGGTTCCTCCCAGCAACAGGTGGGCAAGGCCACCAAGAACCGTAGCCGAAATCTAGTATCAAACACCCAAAGCGTTTTTAACACCTGCACGATCATCAAACACAATAATACTCACACCGCCCTTGGCCTCCCTAAGACTGATTTTCACAAACCGACGAAGACGGTCAACATTGTTTCTCGCCTGTCTCTGATCAGGAATTTGCATAGTTGGATCACCCTCAACGAAGATATACGTATGAATCTCCCTGAGCATTTGATACAACTGTTGCTCGTAGAGGAAACCGCGGGGTTCGAACTTGGAATTGACAGGAAGACCAGCCTAAGGAAAAAAAAAAATTCGGAGCCCCTTGAGTATCATCACTAAACATCGCCAAAACCAGACACTCACAATCTGATACGAAGCCCAATGAACCGGAACAAATCTCAACACATCCTTCACAATGTCCACAAGCGTCGGTCCCTTCTCGTAAACGACATATTTCTTCTGCCCAATCAATTCGATCGTCTTATCGTAGAACCACTTCCCGTGATCGTCCAGCTCGGCCGAGGGGATGAAAATATCCTGAACAAGTTTCATTGCACGCGCGAAAACACAAGAGGATTATCGATGGCACTGAGGTAGCCTGGGATAAGTCCCACGTCCTTGATCTTTTGACTGTAAAGAGTGATGAGGCCGTGTGAATTATTCAGGTCACCTATTCCGTCGTAAATGCCGTTGGAGTCCGCGATAAGAATGGTTTCGCCTTGAGGAACGGGAGGCGTGAAGGTATACCCTTTCGCCTGACCGAGCTTCGTGAGGACCCTGTCCATGGCGCGCGGGTGTCCCGTAGGCAGGATAAGGGGGGAGTGAGTGTAGACAGATGGAGCATCGAAGTGGCGAGGGAGTGCGCGAGTGAAGAGTTTGCCAAGTATTCCACCCCAAGAAGCGTTGTGGACGTTACGGGTACTATCAATGAAACCCCATGTTGTAAGGTTGAAGGGTGTGTAATCGTAAGTGAAATAGCGATCTCCACGAATGAGAGCGACAGCATCGGCTAGAATAGCACGAGACATGGTGTCTACCATCAAAGTCAAGTCAAAATTTAGCTAACTTCATTCGGTAAGAAATTCCTCTCACAAGAAGGACACAATCCAGCACCATCCATGACTTTCTTACTCTCCTCCGCCACCAAACCGACATACAGTTCCAAATTCTCCGTATTCCTATAAAGCTTCCTGGAAGCATCAGCAACGCTCTTATCAGAGTTCCATTCCTCAAACGTAGCATAAGGCTTCAACCCCGGAAATCTCCTAAACTCATTCAACGAACAACAGCCCCAGTTCCCAGACTGTTAAATTCCCAAAATTTCAATAACACTCATCACACCGGGAACACCCCTAGCCTGGAATGCATGTACAGGAACACTTGTGGCGTTAACGAGAGCTTTGGCAACAAGTATATCTGGGTATTTAAACGTCTTTGGGTCACGAGGATTAGCAATCGGTCTACCGGATTCCTTGGTGAATCCACGGTAGTCGTACTCGGGAAGCAGGTAACCAAGTGGTTTCCTGTCATCGATGAGGTCTTTCGCCTGAGGCTCGGAGAGATCCTCAAGTCCGAGAGGTTGGACCTTGTTACCGTTTCGGTCTTTGACGCGACCGTAGGTTGCTCGAAGTTGTTGCTGGCCAACAACAACCTCAAAGTCCTTGGGAATGATCTACGCAAAACAGGGTTAGTGTGGGTTTGGGGAGAAAACGAAAAACACTCACCGTGTTAAAGTCAACTTCTGGACCAAACAAGTGATGAAAAGCCCGCTCGGTATATTCCGCATCCTCCTTACTCATACTAGGATGTAGCCTATAAAGTCCAACCGAACAACTGTTCCCAGTCCCCCTCTCCAATAATCGATGGTCCACTTCTCTCCTCTCACCAGCAATGTTCAGCGTCCAACTCGAACCATCTCGAACTGTGCCAAGGATAGCAGCGAGGTAGTCTCCCAAGACGACGTTAGCGTAGGCGGAAGAGTTAATAAGACGCGCAGTGTTAAAGATCTCGTGATCTTGTTGTTTGAGTTTTTGGGGCGTGGGGGCGAGTTTGGAAATATCTTGTTCCCAGGTGCCTCGTTCGTTAATGCGTAACAGAAGGTCGGCTATGTACTGGCGAGGCATGTAAAAGGACGGAGCATTGCGGGGGGGGGGGGGAACTTACGTTATGATTCCTGTTAAAAACAATCAATAAAGCCGTAACCGCAGGAGGCAAATTCAACAGCCTTGTTTCAGCATAAACATCAGGAAGGATTCTTCCCCTTCCGTCAACATAACGAATCTTGTCCTGATGAGCTTGAGTGTTTCCATAAACGAACCTGGGCCCGAAAGGCCTCAATCCCGTTCGAGATCCGGGAGTGAAGTTTATTGTCATCAAAATCCTCCGTCACGCCGGGAACGTGGGAGCTTCATGATGTGTGGACGCTTTCCGCAGCTAGGGAGAACTTTTCAAGGCCAGAGTCTGTGGCTTTGAGAGTCACGGAGAGGACGTTGGCTGCCACCTGTCGAGGGGTTGGAAGGCCAGACATTTCGCGCCCCGTGGTCCGTATGGAAGGTAAAGAAAGAGCCTCAAGCGAAGGGAGAGTATTGGCTGAGAAGGGAAGTGGGAGAGGTTGAACGGGTTACCGTGCCCGACTTGAGAAGCACGACGACTGAAGACACCAAATTGTGGTATAAGGTAAAAACAAAGATATGACCCTTCTGATAGGGACATTTCGACTTGAAGTTCCCTAAATATTGTTTTGACTAATTATTGAGCTTTCAGACGGGTCGTGGCCTTAATAATACCAAACACCCCTTTAGAGAAACACGCGCGAGGTTACCTGACCTATACCCGCTGCCTGTGCAAAGTGGCCGTGAAAAGTTGACGAGGGCCGGTCTCCCAGCGCCTCGCCAGATGTATGCATGCTCGAAGGGTTTTGAAACGGAGTTCTGATATCGACAGCATTTAGTGCGTGTGCGCGCCGCATACGCCGCATCACGCACTTGGTCGCCCATATGACCATTCTCAGCGGAAAGGGACGCAAGCGGTGGGAGTGGCTGTGTTGCACCAATTCCCACGAGAAGCCAATGTTCGACCTCAGGTTCAAGTGCCCTGTGTTTTGGGCCAGCACAGTGCCCAATAGTAGCTATGGCGCGATACTATATACTGGAAGTTCATGTCACTATTTCCGATGCTATATGGACCAACCTTCACAGTTGCTTTGTCTCGCGCCACAAGAATGTTGCTCAGGCCCAGCTCGAATTAAACGTCTCAATACTGTGCAGCCCATTTAATGTCCTGTACATGTTAGGGCCAAAAGTGAAGCGAATAACCGGTATCCATGCTGTACTGAGCCTTGTATTCAGAGTGCATTTCCGCGTGACTCTATGAAGGAGGCTACCATCCTGGGAGATAAGAGTAGTTCATACGCTGTCCTGCACAATGGGCCGGACATCCGATCAACGCAAGAACTATAGACAATAAGAACAGGGTGGGGCCTGACCGAGACGTTTTCACGCTGGACTTTATCTGGAGTCGGAACGGTAATATCGGAATGCGCGGAATCAGATGAGTCAGCTGCACGGGAGGCGTTCCAGGACTGTAGACCCGTGGCTTAAATGCATAGGGCCAGATCATGAGTCCGGTGTTCTCCTTGTGCTACTGTAATAGCTCGGCCGGGAGGGCTGCGCCGTCTCAAGTTCGAGCCCTTTCTTCTCTCGACTGTCATGTCGCACTTCATCCTCTATCCTCTCCCGTATACGACGTCAGAGCCACTTGCGCAACTTTTTTTTGCCCGATCCAGACAGCTTGGGTCGGCAAATGAAGGATTTTTGCAACAGTGTCGTATTATTGTTGGCCGCTCGGATATATAACGTTGCAGTTCGTCCCATGTGCAATTGGACGCGCGCGGGCCTACTTATCTGGTTTCCAGTGGAAGTTGCCCAACGAGATACGATGGGTCCCAGAAGGTGCCAAGGCATCCCCTGAGCATGAATCTCGAAACGGGTTGGCAGTGTGCGCGAACCATCATCTGGCATTCGATAGGTGGCAATTCTTCATTCGCGAAGTGAGTCCCACCTTCGTACTACCTATTAATGACAACCAGATTCAAAAGTATGTCTTCATCCATTACGATAGCACTGGAGAGTCTGGAGAGCAGGCACCCAAGGCCGTTGCCCTTGACCCCAAGGATAAGCACTCACCACTCCCCCCCCCCTACTTCTTGCCCACGAATATATGGTCCGCGGAAGAAATTTCTACCAACCCAAGCGAATGTTGGACCCAACTAATGCTTGGCAGGATTGGATCGTCAGAGACAGCGTGGTGAACGAGGGAGATGGCGCTTTCAAGCGCTCGCGCTAACTAATTTGTTTACATTAATAATTTATTGTTTAATCGTGTGGCTGTTTATGTAGATGACCGTAGGCGAATAGACGAATAAACAAAATCATGTGCTTTGAATAAACTTGAAGGAAAACTTTGAGCGAATTGGCGTTGGTCAGCATGCTAGGTTACGTGTTGGTCTTCTCAGTCTCTGATAGTTGCAAGCGCCGCTTTTCTTCTCTTGATCGCGATGTCGTGCCTAAACCTATGTGCTCTCCCCTATACTGCACCAGAGCCACCTGCAGAACTTTTCCGCCACGTTGAGAGAGAGTCTGGACATTCTGACACGGCAGCGTTCAAGGAGGGTCTAGACAACCGTGATGTGTTCTTTGCAAAGCGCAAGTGTGTGATTTGTGGGTCCAGGAATCGGATACTTTTAGAACGTTGTCATATCGTTGCTCGCTCGGACTGTCATGTGGTTCGTCCCATATGGACTCGCATGCAAGCAGAGTCACTTACCTTCTTTCTAGTGGACGTTCCTCAGGAACATAGGATGGATTCCAGAGGGTGCTAGGGAAGCGCCTGGGCATGAGCCCCGCAATGGGTTGACGATGTGCCCAAACCATAATCGGTCATTCGAACGTTGGCAGTTTTTCATTCGCTTTCGACCAGATGTAAGTCTCGGTTTCTTTGCCCTCGTGCTACCAATTAACTGGCAGCTAGATCCAAAAATATATCTTCATCCACTACGATAGCTACGCTGAGTCTCTAGAACTGGCACAGTTCCACGGCAAGGCCATTGCCCTTGATCCCAAAGACAAGCACTCGCCACTCCCTCTTCTATTCCTTACCCACGAATATATGGTCCGCGGGAGAAATTTCCACCAACCATCACCCATCCCGGAGCCAACTAATACTTGGCAGGATTGGATGGTCAATTACGATGTGGTAAACGAGGGAGACGAAGGTTCATTCACTTTCAACCGCTCGGGCCCCCCAAGGCGCAATTCTCCTATCTACCAGTCTGCGAACCTGCAAGGGTTCGACACCGATGCCTCACCTTCTGGTTCTCAAAATGGAATCATGCCACCTACCCCTGACCTCGTCGCAGAATTGATGGCGTATCAACTTACCATGCCCAGTTGGAAGGCGTGGCAGACGGAGAGCATGAGCTGGGAAGGGACGGCGGAAGAAAACATAAAACAATATGTCGAGAAGGTGGGCGTCGAAGAACCTGAAGGATTGAATGGTTAAACCTAGACTCGTACCCTGGACGCGCAAAATAATAGCTTTTGCACGCAAACGTTCTCACGTTCTGGTGCTATTCACGTTCTGTACTCAATGCAAGTTTCGCTTATGTAAGCATTACATGGTCACAGCCTTGTTGCCGGTCTGTATTTAGCGGAGTTGTCCGAATGATATTGTAACATTGTAACATTAGAGTTGGCCGATCTATTTGTCTATTAGGGTTAGTTCCTTTCCACTAAGCTATTCGGTTTGCTGTCCTCCACGAAACTATATACCGTCTTACCACTTCTAGTGAGACTATGCTGAGTTGGATAGCTCACCAAGCGCAAAGCGCAAGCCACCAAGCCACCACGGCCTCCCACGACATCCACGACATTGACCTGAGAATCCGTGCCCTTACCACGATCCTGTCAATTCTTGATCCTCAAGCTAGCTCTCCTACCAAAGGCCCCTCGTCAATCGAGTTCAAAGTTGCGATGCATATTGCCACGCTCCTCACCCGTGGTGCGGACGAGAGGAGAGGCATAATGGGGCCGAACATTGGACCGATTGCAGTCGCCGCGCGAACGACGGTGGATTCCGTAAATATCCTTGCGACGATTGGTAGAGACGATAACGAATATTCAAATACCCCTGAGAGTGCGCTCTCAAACGATTTTGTTGTCACCCAGAATCCCACATCAGATGACCCTGTTGCATTTGGTGTCACTGTGACTGAGATTGAATCTAAAGATCTGGACGACGTCCAACGCGACGAACTCTTGAACAGGTGATCGGCTCCCCATTCTATGCGTCGCCCTGATTCATGATTACCATTGCATTTAGCGACCGCCCCCCAGAGGATATCACTCTGAGTCAGCATGCAGCAGATGTCATGTCTTTATTTAATAATATCCGCACCGCACGGCGAGGTAGATCCGAACAAGCCCTTGCCGTTCGACGTATCACTGAATTTATCATTCGGCGATGCGCACCGATCATCTCCCATCGACTCCGATCTGACAAGTTCATCTTTCAAGACACGACATTAGATAAGATTCTCCAAGGATGGAAACCTAGCGACGGGGACCATTTTGTGAAGACTGAGTGTGAAATACCAGAACGCCTTATTCGCCTATTCCAGACGGTGGGCATCCAATGTCGACAGTCCAACAGGAAATATTTCGCACCATGGACGAAAGACATAGCTCCAGCTTGGATGGAAGTATTTCTATCGTGCCTATCATTGTGCAAGGATTGTTTCGAGCTAGAAGGCAAGAAAGTGGCAGGCGACACCGCCGTGGGCGCGACTGCTCTAAAATTGCTCCAAACATTGGTTGAATCAGAGGGGTTCAAATATCTGCTTCGACTGAGGTCTGTCAACGCTATCCTGGTGTTAAACCGTCGGCAAGGTATAATATTTTAATGTCTCCGTTGTCCCCACGATCTAAAAGCACAACCTCTTCATCAGCTCCAGCTCGCTCCGATGCTGGAAACACAGAAGACTCCGATGACACACATGGCGACAATTTGGAGCTCACCGCTGAGACAGAAGAGGATCCGGTCGCTCTTACCATGCGATACCTTGGTAACGCCGTCGCGTGGATCACTGCAACAGATTTCTTATTTTCCAGTTCACGTATTCGACGTACCCCGAGGCTTCGTCTCCATCTCGCGATCACCGCTCCTCCTGTCGAGCCGAAAGCAATGGAAGATGCAGTACCAATCTTCACGGATATGTTCAACAAAACCCTTAAAAATTGGGAGGATCAATCCAGAGGCCGCAACTCGGGGGTGCGTTCATGGTACTGGCAATCTGTTGTGAGGCTTCGAAAGTCCCGGGAGTTTCATGGTACAGTCCACTGCGAGGCATCGCTGATGGGTGCCATTGCACAGTACAATGGCCAAGCTAATAACACGCAGAATACCCAACTTCCGGAGATATTTCATGTAAGTTGTCAGTGTCCTACATCTTTGGTGGTGGCATGCCGCTAATCTTTCTTTTGAAGAGCACTTCCAATAAGCCAAGGACAATTGGAGTGGCTAAAAAATGTTGTTGGTGCTGCAACATGCTGGTAACCCTCCTGAACTCAGCAGATATCCAGTTCAGCCTCCCAGGCTCGCATGGTCGAATATTCCCGTGGGCCCTTCCCAGTATGGGAATATCTTATGAAGTTGCTTGCTCCCTTGAGGATAAGCTTCAAAAACAATTGTCACTGGCAATTTGGAAGATGCTGGACAAACTAAGATGTATATCTGAAAGCCAGACAAACAGCCCTGCATCAGATGGCAGAGGGTGATTATTGGAATGAAGCGATGAATAATGTGGAACATAAGCTTCGTTCAGGTTGAAGAAACAGGATTCTTTTTCAAGTGATTTCTTTAGCATTTGAAGCAGCTAGTTTATTTCTATATTGTCAGGTTAGTTGAGAATACCTGTGCAGAAGAGTGCCAACAAAGATCATCGCACTAAGCAGCAGAGGTGACAGGGTTGGAGGTGTGATATGGTGATGTTAGATACTGATCCGGTGTAAGGAGTGGTAACCCCACCCCTTAATTCCCATTTGCACATTGTATAATTGTCTTGTAACAAACATGTATATACAAAAGTAGATACAGCAGCATGGGAAAGTGGAAAGGAAAACGAAGCCTTTCCTCCCCCAACTGTTGCAAATACAACTTCATATAAGTTAGTTTTGTTGACAGCCTGAGGACTTAGGCTAACCAGGGTTGGCACCTACACCAACACCTTACATCTAGGGTCAGCACCGAGGGTTGTGCAGGTTGTGTTGTAAATCCGGAGTTCCATATATGGCAACCCGCTTCAGCGGTTCACTCGCAACCCAGATGTAATATAGAAATGAGAAGAGAAACTGTAACTAAAGAACATACAGTGCTAAAGCACCCAGAGCTTACTATGTGTGGCATTTACGCAAGTGCTTAGTCACATCCTCCACATTATCCTCCACATATGTCCCGGATATCTCTGGTGAAGGAGTGGAGCTGGGTCACCTTATGTAACCAGTTTCCTATGTCCAATAACAATATTAGAGTTTGTGCTGATTTGCTCACTGACTGTGTTTTGGTTGCCAAATATATAATTGTTCACTGTCTAAACAACAATGAACACCCCCCAACGATCTTACCTGACTGTCAGGGATCGGCCCCTGACCCCGCTGTCAGGGCACCCAACCACACCCCAGAACCACCTTCCCAGACTTCCCCCACTTCCCGGACCTCCCCATCCCTACATATCTCTCACAACTTCAGCCCGCATGTGAGCCCGCAGGAAAAATCACGTGGGTCAAGGCAAGCAACTCGCCTTAACCCATGTGACACCTTTTCCGAGTCGTGGGAACATGCTTGGCTTCTACCTGGAGTCACGTTATGAACTGTACAGTACACTTCCCTTTTATAGTAGCCAAGCGGGGAATAGGGAAACTTACCCTTCTTCTCAACTCAATCCCCACTTAGGCAAGTTGTAGTTACCCTCTGTAATACATGACAACTCAATCCCCGCTTAGTCCCTTCAGTGAGTTTGTGAGGACAGGGTCTAGCGCCCAACCACCCGGAACACCGCACACACCCAGGCCTGAGGTCAGGCTGTCCCTGATCGAGGACCGAGCCCTGACACTGACATATAGATCGTCTATAGATAAAATTCTATATTGACTTGACTATGATTTCTAGTCAATATTACACCTAGATATACCACTTTTCAGTAGGATGTGATTTTCCTGATAATTTACTGAAGGAAAACTACTAATAAAATAATTCTGCAATAAATGTTACTCAATACAGGAGTGACCAAACTGCTCTTTCTATCGCTTAGAGTGCATGCTAGTTATCTAGCAGGTTCAGGATCGCTCACTTTTCTCCTGTGGTGTGATAACCAAATATTACTGAGAGATTATTCAATTAAGAAGTCCCTCCACCAAATTCTCACTAATTCTCACTATGACACTGTTGTTCAGCTGTGTCTAACTGACCCTAACTCACGCTTAGAGTGATGTGTTAGTTTTATATTAGCTAACAACTAATATTTGCTTTTATCTTTTGGAGCAAACGAACCAACCACTGGTGAGGAGAATTAAACTTATATTTCTACCTGAGGTTTGAGAGGGGGCAGAAGCGGCAGCCTTTTATGCTTTTCAGAGACCTCTGTACTCCCATGCCTCGCACTAGTTACATGTGCTACATTTGTATTATAGATAGTTCTAGAATGATATAGGGGCTTGGCTGTGTAAGCTTAATAATGGACTTAGGACATGACTCAGCAATAAGTAATTCAGTTCTTTGTCTTTTGGGCCGATCTCAGTGGGGTCTTGCAGTGCTAAAGCTATGCTCTACACTGCCTTAATTACGAATGGTTATCTTTAGAAATGACTCGGCTATAAAGGAACTTTCTAGACTGTTCTCTAATTCACTGTCAGGGATGCATCCAGGGTTGAGGCAGTCTGGGTATAGTGCCCAGCGCTGAGGACCTTGCAGGGGGTGGATCGGGCATGCATACTGGCGGGCCTGATATGGGACAGCTGTCCCTGGCCACTCAGACTGAGGTGGAAAAGGTGAATTGTTATTAAAGAGGAAGACTACACTACTTACCTGAGGTGGAAAAGGTGAGAAGAAGGTTACTTCTTTGGTTCCCACTTCAGGTACATTTATGTACATGCAGCTTAGGTCACATGATGGATGGCACGTCATCCTCGGAGGCAGCTGCAGCCACCCAGGTGTCCCTGCAGGGGATCCTGAGAGCATCTGCTGCAGGCATGCATGCTGGGCACAGCAGGAAGCCATCCAGGGTGTCTGGGCTGGATGGGTCAACAGTACAGTGATACAAGGAAAGGTGGTCCATGTAAATAGAAGGGATAAACAGGAAGAGAGTGATGGGGAGATTGAAATAAGGAGAGGGAAGAAAGAAAGGAAAGAAAGAAAGAAAAGAAAGGAAAAGAAGAAAAGGAGGGAAGAGGGGAGGGGGCACCGGGTGGAGCTGGGTCTGGGGGGCCAGGTGGAGCTGGGTGGAGCCGAGTGAGCAGGTGTGCCCTGACATTCACCCCTTTTTGTGAAGCCACATCATTACCAATGTTCTAGAGCTTTCCCAATTAATTAACTGATCCGCGGACTTCTGAATCATTTTATGCTTATGATCCAAGATCCAGATCATTAATCATTCCTTTGTTCCGATTTATTTGAGCTTAAAATCAAAAAGTTTTGATGAATCATGGGAAAATATACAAGATCCGGTTTTGTAGCATTTTCTCCTCTTCAGATGGGATCAAAAACTGTCCATCCACGCTGGGGGATACTCTGCCATATGGTATTTGGTCCGCCAGACTTCCGGGTGTCAATATATTTCCCTTGAGTCACATTATCTTTTGTAAGAATTAGCAAACAAATATATATGAATTATAAGGTGTTTTGCTGTTTGAGCGATATCTCCGTCAGTTTTGAAGCTTTTAGAATAAAACAAAACCGTGGATAAAGTTTAGAAACAGTCCTTTCAGATGGTAAAAAGATTACAGTCAAAAGTTCACTGGTTCCCAAGATATTTACATTTCTTTCCCAATGTTCCTTTTTTATTCTGCCATCTATGTGCTATTTTCTTGTTGTAGGGATATACTCTTTGAATATTATATTTTCCTACACCTATGCCAGGTTCTAGGCATGCTTGTAGTAGCTTAAATCTCATGCTACATGGGTGTGGATAATTATAATGATCTTCTAATGTCTGTCCAGTCTCATAAAGATCATGAGATCTGTCAAACATTTGAACTTGTCACCTGATTGTTGACTATTCTGATACATCATTGTTTTATTCTTCGAATATTATTTCTCCTACAAACAGGCACAGCAGGATAATTGCAGTCCCTTGCAATTTCACACTAATTCTCGAGCATGTTGTTGCAACCATTCTTCCTGTTAGTCAATTGTCCCTTGATTTTTCCCTGTTGTTCATGCCAATTCTCTTGTTTTTGAGTTTTTGGTGTCACTGGAGTAGTTTTTGAATCAGTTATCAGGGTGGAAATAAGTCGCTAGAGAAATTTTGGCTGTCTTTCGGATCAGTGGTATATGGAGAGGTAGGTTCCATAGTTTTCCTAACATGAGAGGTACACATATGTCACTTAACCATGTGTTGCTGCTTTATAGTGCCTGATTGTCAGTCAGTCCATAGTTGGATAAAGATAAAAATAAGGAATAGCATATTGGATTGCAGAGGAACATGCATGCATTTATGGTCATTCATTCTGCAATGTTTTTGTTTCTGTTTTCGAGGTTCAATTTTATTCAAGGTTGAACTTGTCCGGTACACTAACCATTCGTTCCTTGAATTTTCTATGTTTTCATCAGATAAAAGAAAGTCATAAGAGAAAAAAAAAGATTGCATAAGGAAACATAGTTTTGCGACTATACAGGTTTTCAACCTTTGGTACTTGTGATTGGGAATACTAGGAGTAGCTTCAGGTCTGACACTATTCCTTGGTATTATACTCCTCCCTCCACCATTCCTCTTTTCGCTCTACAGGCCATATTTCTTTCGCATACAATACCCTATTATCCAACTGATAAGTTTCCATTGCCACTTGCAGTTCCTCCAATGTATCCATGTTGAGTTGCTGGACTCTTCCATAGATTCGATCTTGAAATTTGCAATAGAATGCCAGTGGGTTATTTTTCCCTGGAATAGTCAGATGCATCGTTGCATGGTACAAATGTTCCCGGAGTATTTGCCAAGAATTCCATAAATGGAACTCCATTGACTTTACCACATGATACTGAGAGCAAATCGCAGCTTCCAAGAGAATCCTTCTGAAGATCAATTCCATTACCTCTTCAAGATCTTTGATCATCAGCATGACTTTATATGGTTTAAACAGACTTCCTAATCGACGTGGATTTGCTTGGAGATCCATTTCGTCTTGGACTAGATTGAGACAGTCCTGGGTCGTCTTCCAGGTTCTATCCAGGTCAGATTCTAACTGAGTTAGATGGTTGTTTAAGACCACGTTAATAAATTTTACCCCTTTCGGATATCCCTGATTATAATCACTCTGCATCTTTTCTTTAAGTAAAGCAGAAAATGTGGGGGATACTCCTACTTGAGTATGTGGGGTGAATTCAAAAACAGGTTCAGCATTGTCATGATTGAGTATGGGTGATGCCGGTTTTAAATTGGGAAGTGGGAATTTGGGTTTATCTGGAATGGGAGTGGAAACGGACTGGTTTCAGTAATTCCATTTAGCAGCGGCACTACCCATGGGCTGATCACTTGAAGAAGAAGTCATGGGTAGGTCTGAGCTGGAATCACTTGGACATCCATAGGCCAGGTCAAATACTTCCTTCCCATGCATTAAAATATCCGATCTAATTCCATCACGTTTCTGGAATCCTTGCTGGGCTTTCTCCAAAAGGAAATTTAATTCAGAATCTATTTCCCATTGAACTGAATTCATAGGTGAGTCGGATCCAAAAGTCATACTTTCTTTGTTGACTTCACTTTCCTTGGGATTTCCCGTTCCTTCATTCTCTTTCATCAGTTCCTTCTTGCATCATGTTAAGTGGATGACTACACACCGAGGAAAAGAGTCCTGGGAATAGCTGGAGTCTGGCTGGCAGTTATAACTGGGACGGTCTTGAAAACAACTTGAGTGTTTGGGAATTGCATATTGATAGGTTCTTTTCAGATGTTCAGGTGTTAGATGCTGAAGGTTTGTTGAGCCATCGACCCCTGCTGGTGCCGAAGTTTTATAGTTCAATGCCTCTATTCCTCTTGTCTTCATCCTCCTTGGGAACCTATCGTTATGCTTGGGTGGTTACATGTTCAATCGGCCTAGTCGTTCTCAATCCATTGGCTCAGCCTCATTTTTCCATCTATCACTCCTTTTCCTCATGTTCCGTCATCAATTCTGTCTCCTTCATTCACTTGTCTAGTTTGGTTGTTGTAAGGGATTAACCTTACTTCACTATAATTCCGATTATAGTGATATCATTATGTTGCATCGCTATAATTCCCATTATAGTGATGCTATTATTTCTTTATTTATTTGCGCCGAGATATGTAAATTACATATATATACCTCGGAGTAGTTGTAAAGGCCCGGTAGCCTTTTACCTCTACCCCGTTGAATATACAGCTCATTAAAGCTTATGTTTAGACGGACCTACTGAGGCCTGAGGCGAACGGGGGAACGGAACGTTACCGTCCCCAAAATAGTAAGCAACCTTTCAGTTGTCCATTTTTCGCAGGTTTGATTACATCTTTAGTTCTTTCCCCCTTTTTCTCATTCTTGCTACACTAATCAGCCTCATGTTCCGTTGTTCTACTATTTCTTTCTCCATCATTTTCGTGGTTCTCACAGATCCTTGGCTTGATTATCATCGCATCAACTCATCAAATTTCTCATGCTCCATCGTTTTCACACTTCTGGGTCTGATTACTGTCGCATTAACTCATCAAATCTCGCCTTGCGCTTCTTGCACTGCTTAACTTGATTACCAACATCACAACTCATCAACCCTTGCCTTTTACTCTGCCAATTTTCCACCTGATTCACAACTCTCGATCTCTTCCCGGTATTCTCATGTCCACATGGATTTATCATTTGGATCCTGTGCACCACCTGAAGTTCCCCTTCTCCTCAGATTATTGGTTTTTCCCTGATTGAGTGTTTACTCTCCCTATCCATCCACTCCTTTATTTCTCCACCTTCGGCTTTAACTTCCAGATCTTGCTCCTCAACTCAACTACCTGTCAGGGCCCGGCCTCGGACTCGGAGGCTCCCTGACCTCAACCCCCATCTAACCTGTCCTCACACTATGCAGGGCATGAGATGTATAGTAAAAAGGAAGAGAGTATATACACTTGCCTATGCAGGGCATGAGATGAGAAGAAGGGTAAAGGTCTCATCTCCCTGCATGGTTGCTATATAAAGGAATGGGTCACATGCCCACAACTATACAGCTCCTAGAGTTGTGTAGTGTGACCTGGAGGAAACATCCAGGTGGCAGTGCCCAGTAAGTGTGGGAATGTTCTGGGTGAGTTGCTCACCCAGAACTGTGGCTGTGACCCGTGGGAACATTCTGGGTGAGCTGCTTGCTCAGAAAGTTCCCACGCTATCCCATCATGTACACAACACACAAAGGCAACAACAAGGCAACAATCAAAGAATGAAGGGAGTAAAGTAGGTGGGGAGTCTGGGGCACCCTAGGGCAGGGTGCTGAACCCTGACATCACCCTCCCTCTATGCCACTTTGCCCTGAAGTGGCTATGGTCTGGGAGTCAGATCCTCTCCTGGTCCACAGCTTTATCCACTTCATGAAAAGAGTAGAAGAATAAAAATGAGGACATAAACGAGAATATTAAAGTTAAGAAAAGGTTTCTTAGTTGTAAAAAGGGAGAAAAATAAGAAAAACAGCAGCAGTAGTCCATCTCCACCAGCTAAACAGCTCCCCTCCCACTAAGATGGATTGTGCACTGGGAGAAAAAAAAATCGCAGGTCCTGCTTGGACCCCACACCAGTATTGGGGAGCTCCTTCCATCATCTCCATGGTTCCATCCCTTGTCATCTCTGTGTCTGCAGGCAGCTGTGCGGAGCTGTGGCTGCTTCCCCATCATCTCCCTTCTATCGCCTCCAGGTCTGCAAGTCATCTTACGATGCCCATGGCTGCACCCTCTGTCATCTCTGTGTCCACATGTGACCATGCAGTGGTGTGGTGTTGGGAAGTAGAATAGGGAGTAGATGGATGTGGGGCAGTTGTCAGGGACAGCTCCAAGGGTGGCAAGGTCCCAGCATGCGGGACTTGGTGGGATGAGTAGCGGCTGTGCATAGTGGCGGTCCTGTCATGGGGTGAGTGTCCCTGACCACTTAGTCTGAAGTGGGAATGTGAGAAGAAGGCTACTTCTTTGGTTCCCACTCCAGCTGTTATTATATACATGTGGGATCAATCATGTGGGGCATGCCACGTCACCCTTGCACACAGCCATGGCTCTCCAGGTGCCTCTGCAGGAGATCCCGAGAGGGTCTGCTGTGGGTGTGGGGCAAGTGCAGCGGTGGTGGCAGCGATATAGGGATGGTAAGATACAGGAGGGGAAATGGGCATGCGTGCCGGTGATACATTGAACAGTGGGAAAGGTGGTCCATGTAAGAGAGAGAAAGAAAGAAAGAAAGAAGAAAGGAAAAGGGAAAGGAGGGAGAAGTGGTGTGGAGCGGGGAAGTGGAGCGGGGGTCGGGCGGGGCATGTCGGGGCGTGCCCTGACAGCAGTCTGGTCAGGGTGCTCACCCTGGCCCTCTCACCCTCCTTCTAATGCCACTTTGCCCCAAAGTGGCTAAACAAGCCCCACCCTCTCCTCTGTGTGCTGTGGTTCGTTGCCTGGACTACTCGCAGAATGTTGATAGAATATAAATGAAAAAACATGGCGGAAAAAAAATTTGGGGCATATGGTCGGAATGGGAGTGGGGTTCAATGTGGTAGAGTTGATATCGTGCTGGTTTCTCAGAAATCCAGACCAGTGGGGTCGCAAGAAAACTATATGGGGTTGCGCATTGGATCCCCAGCGAAAAGGAAATGGAAAGGTCGGCCCCATGGGCCTTAGGGAATCAGGGTGTAGGTTATGGAAGCGCAGTGATGTGATCTAGGCATTACCCTCCTTCTATGCCGCTTTGTCCTGAAGGGGCCATAGCCAAGGACTCTGGGCTCACTTGCGCCATAATCATAATCCCCATCTTCATGGCATTCTCCAGGGCCAAAATGGGCGAAGCCAAAGACTATGCCACCACCTTCATTAGCCGTGCCTTCCTGGCATTGGCAAACACCCTCTGCACCATCCTGGCAGCCAATGAAATAGAGGAATGCGGTGATGACCCCCTCCCATGGGGCATAATGATCAAAGGTCTGACCTACCAAGATGCGGCGACCCTACTACACCACCAGCTTTGGTTCTCGAAAACCTTCAGCTTCTCGGCACACCCGGCAACCAACTTCACATCTGACTGGCTTGGAAACTGGGACTTTGCTGCCACAGCCAAGGACACGTCCGCTGCCCTTGAATGCCTAAAAGCCACCTTGAGCCACCCAGACACCACCATAGGAAGATACCTGGCAGAAAAGGTTCCGGACCAACTAGAACGACGTGCCATCATCGACTCCACTCGTGTCCAACCAACTAATGTCACCACAATGGGTAAAACAGCTGTCCACTGGGCCTTCCTAGCAAAGTCCCCCCACCCAAAAGATGTCACCAAACACCATGAATGGCTCAAAGCTGCCAAAGACACACTATGGTATAACAGGAAAATCGCGAATGGCATTAAACACAACCATCTGCAAACTCGGGATACTCCTTCAGAACAGCCGAGAGGTCAACGGAATCGGTGTGGGATGAGGCAGCCCTCAAGCGGCTGTCCTTGGAAGGGATGGTTAGGCTGAAGGATACCGATCCTTCAAGCCGACAAGCCTTCGCAAATGCGGAACGGCTGACAAACTCGATAGATGGTAACGGAGGGGTAGGAGCCTGTGACTGAGGTGCTGGCGAAACATCAGATGGTTGGATGTCAGACAACGGCAGTGGTGCCGGAGACGATGGGGAAGAGCTCGGAGTAACTGTCTTGGTAGGTTCGGAAGTTCGGAACGTAATACTGCTTGAGACCCAGTCAATCAACGGATTGTAGCAGGTAAGCCAGTTGTGTCCTAGGACTAGGGAACATGATCCATCCAGTGATGTGACAAAGAAAGTCGTGGGGGTGATGTTTCCGGAAGCGAAGCGGAGGGGAATATCAATGGCACAGGTTATGATTGAGTTGGTGCTACCGTCGAATAGGCGTAGTTGTAGGGGTTTAATCTGGTATGTCTTCAAGGCCAACTTTTTTACGAATGTGTCGCTGATGAAGCAGTCCGAAGACCCAGAGTCTATGAGTGCGGGTACGTTCTCATAGGAGCGGAAAAGTCTATTTTGTGTCCTATCATTGGACGGAGGAGAAACAGGAGAAGAGAAAGAAGAGAAGCGGAGAGAGGTGGATCGATCTATGGAAGTAGTCGGAGGGGGCGGAGGAGAGAGTGGTACATCAGCAACACTATCTACAATGGGTAGAACATTAACCGAAGGGTCAACATTGAGAGGAGAAAATAGACCATTTGAAAGAGAAAGAAACAGGAATATGGAGGGAGGATAAATCGGAAATGGAAGACATGTTTAAACGCACTTCTTTGAGCGCACGGAAGGAAGGATCGCAACCCCCGGTCTGTGCGGAGTCCATGGGGGTGCAGACTAATTTTTTGCTTCTGCGGAAGCGGATCCTTGCTCCTCGGTCTGGGCCGAACGGGCCTTAGACACGTGAGAAGAAGACTTGGGACAGTCCTTGACCATGTGGCCAGACTGACTGCAGAACATACAAAGTTTCTCGTCGAGACGACGCTTACGCTCTTGTGGCGTGAGCTTGCCGTTGTCTCCGAGTTTATGTCAGGATCCGGACCCCAGCTGGGAGTGGCCGGAGGGCGAGGCCGGGTGTGGAAGCTGGGGTACTCTCCCCAGGTGCTAACTCCTCGAAGTTGCTGAGGGGGCTGGCCTCAGCCTTCACAGGGAATGAGCTGTTATTCATTGAAAAGCGGGTAAGTACACTTGCCTTCACAGGGAATGAGCTGAGAAGAAGGGTAAGCTTCTCAGCCCCCTGTGAGGCCGACACAAAAGGACCCTAGGAACTATACAGTTCCCGCTTGCTGCCGACTTTCCATAACGGGTGTGACCTGTGGGAAAGTTCTGGGCGAGCTGCTTGCCCAGAATGTTCCCACGGTTGTGGCTGTACATTTCTGGGCGAGTCGCTCGCCCAGAACGTTCCCACGGGTTCGCGCGCGCGCATCATTATGTGAAACAGTGGGGGGAAGGATAAGGGGAATGGGGAAATGTGGAGAGAGGGTGGTTAGGAGAAGGGTGAGGGTGTCTGAGGGTGAGTGGGGTCAAGGGCTGTGCCCTGACAGTTTAGACAAAAGGTCCGGCTTAGCGGAGCTGGCCTCGGACTTCTTATTGTCCTTCAGAGGCCTACTACCGGAAGCGGAGTTGAAAGAGGAGGAGGAAGGGACGGGGTCGGAATGAGAAGCGGCGGTGGACTTGTCGAAAACGTTAGAGGAAGAGGGTTTCACGTGACGTGTAACTTCCGATTTACGCTCCCAATAGCGCGCATCGAGAGTTTGTGACAAGGTGCGAAGTTCAGAAAGAGTAGAGGGTTTACCTACTCTGGCAATATCGTCCTTGATACATTCTGGCAAGCCGTTATAGAAAAAACGACGAAGCGCGGCTTCTCCGTAACCATGAAGTTGAGAGGCATGTCGGTTGAACTCGACGACGTATTTATTGATGTGGTGCCTGTCCTTCATGTCCAGGGTCATTAGTTGAACTTCGGCGTCGCCCACAGGATCGTGAGGGCCGAAGTTAGTTTGAAGTTCATTAACGAACTCTTGATAATCATTCATCCATCGCGGACGAAGTGTAGAATTTTGATCGAATAATAGATCCGGCTTGAACCAATTGAGGGCCATTCCCTTGAGGTAGGACTGCGCAAAGATGACCTTAGCGCGGTCGCTAGCAAAAGTGAGGGGACGGTCCTGGAAATTGAGTTCGCATTGGACCAGAAATACTCGGAGTTCTCGGGGATCCTTCCCGTTGAACTGTTCGGGCTCACGGACCTTGGTCCGGAGAGCAGAGGATGGTGGTGGTGGTGGACGTCCGGTGTGACGAGCCAGGCTGGCAATGGCTTGGGCTAATTGTGCAATAGCCATGTTGGAGGTGGGTTCGGCATCGTTGGCGGTTGGGACAGTGGGGATAGGAGGATCAGCAGGAGGAGGATTGACGAAGTCGGGGACCTCGGAACCGAGTCCAAAGAAGTGGATGGGGTCTATGGGTTGTTCTGTGGTGTCTCCGAAGTCGGAATCTGCAACTGGTGATCGATTCCTAACAGGGCGCATGATCGGAGTCGATGGGAGAGGGGTTTCAAGGTTAGAAAAGCTTTGAAACTCAACTGGGTTTCTCGCCAATCGACTAGGACCAGGCTGAGAGGGTTCTGGGGATGGTGAGGCAGAGTTGGGAACTAATGTGCGTAGTTGCGAACGAGTGCGAGGGGCTTTTGGTGCCATACAAGACGTGTACTAGTCAGGGAGTAATAAAATACTGTCAGAGACCAGGTTGAGACGAAAGAAAGTCTCCATGGTGGAGGGCTTCGGCCTCAGCGACTTATGCCAGGAGCGCTGTGCCAAGTAACACGTCCGTGCCCTAACTTACTAACTGGCAACCAGAACTGCAGGGGGTAAACTCTAGTCGATTTTATTACTGAAGTGTAACCTATGTACAAGTTGGATATATATATAGTTACAGCGAAGATGGGTCCGCAAATGGTGGAGCCGAGCGGAGCGGAACTAATGGGATTAAACATTAGCCGACTGAATATTACCAACGAGTCAGGTTACGGGGTTAACGGAAAGGCAGGCGATAACCCAGAAACAGAAAGGAGGGATAGGCCCGAAGGTGGGCTCTGCAGGTGTAACGGGTCTATCGCCTAGACTCGAGACAGAGAGAAGGGGGAGGGTGGTAGTGTGTGCGGGTGTGGTTCGTGGGGCCGGGTTTTGGTCCTGGGGCACTACCGAGTCTGCAAAAACCTCAAACAAACACTTACCTACGTCTCTCTTGGACGTCAAGGCTGAGTATTATGATGTGAGGGGTCTTAGACGTAAGAAACTAGCTCAATGGGGGCGTTAGGGTCGTGGATGGTGTCATATCCCGGAATCCCGACCCCGCGCACTCCCACCACATCACACCTTCCTAACAACTTCACCATCCCCTACACCTTGCCTCCCCACTCTCCAAGTCACCTTCCCTCCTGACTGTCTCAGCTCCGGTCTGGTTGCGGCACACCGAACCTTGGCCACTCCCATCCCGGAACCTCGGTCCCGAGTCGGAACATTCGGAGATCCCGGATTTGCTCCGATATCCTGATGGACCTCCGACATCCCGTGACATGCCCTTAAACCCTTCCTCCACCCATTTCATTTATTTGAGTCACCCAACATCCTTCGGATACGCAACTCCGCTTTCGGAGCTACCCGCATCCTTCGGTGATCTCCCTCATGTTATCACTTATTAGTCATCTCCCATTCTTAGCACGACTACCTTCTTACTACCATTCAGTCGGCTAACCCCCTTTATCCATTTGTCTTCCCCATTCATTTTCCGGCCTCCAACTCCACCCCCCTTGGCCCGACACCTCGGTTCCCCGTTTTAGATATCGTTCGGAACCTTTCGGTACCTCTCGGTATCATTCGGTACCTTTCGGTGTTTTCCCCATTTTGTCATTTCGGGCTTTGACTAAAGTCCTCCCCATCCTCCTTTAATAAATACACGTAGATTAGAACCTGTAGTTCCTCAGTTCTAATCTCGACTAAAATGCCACCCAAAGTCCCTCTGAGTGAATCCTGTCCCTGTTCTACAAGACACCTCAGACATAAGAAATACAAGGACTAACTGAGACGTAATGGAGGCACAGCGCTCCCTCCGAGTCGCTGAGGCTGCGTCCTTCTTAGAGCCTCTTGTACCATCCAGCAGAACCGGGCTCCCTGAGAAGCTTTGGTTCACTACCGGAGCCCTCGGACCCCCCTCTAGTTGAGCCCTGCCTGCATTCGGACTCACGCATTTACCCCCTCTTCCATAACCGACGGGTTTTTGACAGATGGCGTCTTTGCCACTTGGATGTAACTTCTGCTTGTCCCTTCACGGGTCTATTCAATACTAACTTGTTATGTACAAGTTGTTATCTAGTTTATATATGTTTGAAATGGAATGAATGGCATGGGGGAATGTAAACGGGCCGTTAGGCAACCGTAAATGATGAATATCCAATTGGGAACAAAGAAACAATAAAAGAAATATGAATGAATGGGCAATATGTGATAACGGATCCGAAATGGGAATTGTGAAAGTTATCTCCGCAACACTTCGCCACAGCGCCCGCCTATCCTCCCGTCAGCAACCTCCTCGTCTCCAGCTTTCCAACGAGCCCCTATTCGTCCCATTTGGTGCAGTACTTCTTGAGATGTGGCCATTGACAGGTGCTGTCAAGACCACGTGAGGCCATACACCGTGCTGAGCCATCCGAATATGGGGTTGCCATTCTGGGAAGTGCTCCGGGGGTAAAGGAGGAAGGTGGAGCATCACTATCGGGTGGAAAAACG